GTAGGTCTTGCGGTTACGAACCCAGCGTCGAAGATGAGCCTTTAGCATGGCGTCAAGCTCGGCGACCATTTCTTCCCGGGGCTTTTGGATACGAAGCTCCGCGGGCCATTGGCCGAGAGTCGAGTCGATGGAGGCAACCATGCCAGCAACACTCGGGGCTGCGGAGGAAGATCCCGGAGATGGGTGTGTAACATCCACACCGACGAGCATTGTCTTGTTTTGTCCAATTAGGCCCAGCTCTTTGGGATCAATGAGCTGGTTGTTTCCTCCCAGCTTGAGGTTGAATTTGAGCCCGACGTTCGCCCAATACTGATCATTATTAGGTTTCCTGAATTTGTCGGCAACAACGTTGACATTGCGGACGCCGTGCGTCAAATCGCAGGCCCTCTTAACGATGTTGTAGATATCAGCGTCGTTGCTCGGGAGGATAGTCAGTATGAGCATGGGCTTGTGCTTCTCAATGAGCCCGGCAACGGCGCTATCGATGGCCTTCGTATTGTATTCTCTAACCTCATTGTCGGATCCCCTCCTCGTCAAAAGTGTCGCCGCCCCAGACTTTGGCGGACTGGCAATCACACCGATCTCGTTCAACTTGTCCGTAAAGCCTTTCAGGTTCGCGCTCAAGTCTTCAGGTCTGATGGCTGGATATCTCGCGCCTTCGTAGTCCAGGGAAAGCCAAGTCCAAGAAGGCAGCTTCGTGGACGTTGAGAATCGAATCGATCTCATGTTCCAACTTCCTGAAAAGGGCTTGATCGGCTTTTGATTCGGCCTATTCTCGTCTCTGTACAGAACGCTAGGCGCCGGTAGTACTCGTCCAGGTACGGTGATCAACCGGACATCATTCTGGATACCGAAATCCACCTTGACACACACATCAATAAAGCACTCACGAGAGCTACGGGGAGATACTTACGAGGGTGGGGTTTGGTGACGCTCCCAGACCCAACACATCCGTCCCCTGCGCTGCGATTGACTGAGCATTATGCGGTGGGCTTCGCACAGCAAAGTTAAGCATATTTCGCGTTTGGTTGGGTGTAAGCTTAGTGTTGGCCTGCTGACCGGGCACGACCTCGCACACTTCAACGGGCAGGTAGCTGGGGTTCTCCCTTGTCCCAACGTTTACAACAGGCATCTTTGGGTCGCATTGGATATTGTAATCTGCAGATGACAATGTCAGATGACGCAACATCAGAGTAGGCTGGTATTCGGGGTGGGGGGGGGGAGCACTGACTTTGGAGGAAGAAGTCCGCAACACTGATGTACTTGCCAGCTGGCTGAGGTCCCGCCTTGACAGGCTTCTTTCCTTTCTTCGAACGCGAGGTCTGCTGTGATGCGGACGGCTGTTGACCTGGAGCGTCAAGGAAGAATTCCACCTCTTTAGGGCCTGCACCAAGTCTTGGCACTTTGGGAGGCATTGGCTGCGAGGCACCGTCTCTGGGAACTGCAACACCAGCGATGCGCTTGAACCGTGGAATAGCTTGACCTTTCTTGTTAGTTTTCTTGATGTGAGTCACCTGCACCCTCAAGGTGCGAATGAACCGACGCAAGTTGTTGATCTCGCGAGGGCGGAATGGCTCATACAACCCGAAGATGTGCGCCAGCGGGCCTTCTTGGTAGCAGGCAACGTACTTGACCTGCACGTTCACCAGAAGACGTGAAGTTGCGGCACGAACACTGACAAAGAAGCCTCGGAGAGCCTCCAGCCCGTCACCGAGAGAGTATTTCTCCTCACGACCTCCACAGATAGCATAGTGCTTATTGGCACCAACAGAAGCGATAGTCGGATCAGTCTTGGGTTGAAAGCCCAGGATTATATTCATGGCCTGTATAACGTCGGCCTTGGACGTAAACATGGCGGCAGCATCAGAAGATGTGAGATAGTTCAAGAGGTCTGATGGGTTAAGGGTGCCTGTGAACTGGCATCTCACACGGTAGACCTTTGGATCCTCGGGGTACTCGTCCTCATATTCATCCCGGTAGCGAACATCATATTCGGCGGCCTCCTGTTCGACCAGGATCTTCTGGTTCGCAATAAGCGTGGATACGTAGTCTGTAACAACACTGTTACGGAATTGAGCGAAATGTTCTTCCAAAAACAATCGCACAATGTGGCGGGCTTTCTTGCCGGCAGGCTTCCTACCAGCTGAGTCCCCTGAAATATCGATGTGGTAACGGTAGAGCTGCTTGCCTACTGACTTGAGCTCAAAATAGTTCGCATACAGCGTGACAGGCCGTCCCTGGGTGCCAAAACCAGGTCGCAGCGGCCACTCCGCAGCCTTCTTCTGTTTCTTAGCAAGAACGGCTGTTTCGATGGCTTTCTCAGTTGCCTGAACCTGGGGACTGGGGGTAGGAACCGGTCCACCCGGACTAAGGTAGCCATCACGTTAGATTGGGGTGCAATGCAGCCAAACGCGTGGGGACGCTACTCACGAGTACACGGATGGGCCTTGGTCGAAGCCGCCTCGTCCTCCTCCCCGACCTCCGCGACCACCACGTCCACCTCCGCGACCCCCATCAAAACCTCTTCCTCGGCCCCTATCAGAACCCCTTCCACCCCCACCACCATCACCTCTTCCTCCCCGACCTCTAGAACCGCCATCACTGGGACCGGGACGGATGGGAAGCTCGGTGGTTGAGCCTCGGCCTGCTCCTCCACCTCTGGGAGCACCGCGGCCCCGACCACGGTCTCCCTGGCCGCGGTCTCCGCCTTTGCCCCGATCTCCTCTACCACGACCCCGCTGACCCCCCGACGACATGGCAAATGCTTTTCTTGAGGGAAAAAGAACCTGTCTTCACAACCGCTCGCAATCTAAATAGATACGCTGTGGGGTTTCCAGGGAGAGTAAAGGCAGAACGAAGGGTTGGGAGAGGGGATGAGCGCTTGTAAATTAGTAGATGCTGCTAATAAACCCCACATCAGGTTGCTGGGAGCACAGCCTGCTCATTCACAGGACAAGGACAAGGCAGCGCGGCAAGGATGGCCATGCAGCCTTGAGTTGGCAAGTGAAGTAAAACACGGTGAATGGCTGTTGGGCCTGGTGTACTTATGCGACCGCAGCTGGTAGATCCATCCACCTTGACTGTATGTTAGAGCTGTCCAGGAAGGGAATCCCTGATAAATGACGTTTAGGGGGGAACCCGAAAGGCTGCACACATGGTGGAACAAAGATTGCCATCCAATAGATTGGCTCTGGAACTGGGATTTCACATGCTGTTGGATGGATAGGATCAGTACTTTGCAGATGGGGATAGTACTATAGTCTATAGGCTGCGAGCAAATGAGGGGCATTTGATAACGGTAAGAACCAGTATATACGAGGTATCTATGTAGCCATGGTCAGCCTGCCAGAAACTGGAAATCAGCTCATCTTTGACTTTCTTTTCCCCCCATGAATTCAACACTGTGATTCGACGAAGCAGAAGAAAGAGGATCCACTTGGATGGGTCCGCAATCCGGCCAGAAGCTTTCTGGACTCATCGGAGTGAGTACAAGAGCAAAGTATGTTCCTCACTACTAGTACTTAACACTAGTAGAAGGTTGACAGCTGCTGCTGCCATCTGGGTGGAAAGTATACCGTCTTAGTGGGAGCGAATGAGCTCGCAGCTCAAGACTGCGTCAGCACTCTTTCGCCCCAAGGTTCGATGCTACTGGTTATACCTTTGGAAATTAAGACTTTCTGTCAGCGAAGGTCTCGGGTGTCACTGCGCATCCATATTCGTTGATCATTTCTTCTACTCCGGTATAACAATGTGTGTATGATCGATACCGGCAAACGATCATACGAGACAACTAGACATGCACTATATGTTTTCTTAGTTGGTTAGTTGTCCACTATCGGACCAGCCCAGCAAATAAGAAGCTCATCTTCAGCCCAAGGATCAAGACGGGCGTCTCAGGAAGACCATCACAGCCGGGTCCAGGCGACTCCCATGGTGAGACAAACGGGACCAGTGCCATCTTATATCTAGATAGATCCAGAAAGGACTTATGAGGCAGATCCTTTAGTAGTATAGTGTGAGGTCTGAATAGCCGTCTTACATAACCGTGTCCACTGCAGACTCTGCCGTTTGTCTTTATGCTGTCAGAATCAAAGTGACAAAATACTACTTTCTTTCCCTCCCTCTTGTGATTGAAATCAGAACACCTCCCGCCTTACGTCAGCTGTTGCCTGAGGATTATCTTGACCGCCTTAGGAAAAGGGCAGAAGGCGATAACGGAGATAACCAACTCAAACACTAAGCACCGAAACGTGCCTCTAGACACTCGCCGTTGGGGGTTCCATCCATCCTACCCAACCTTCGACCTTTCCATCACTCGACTCGGCCTTTCCCGGGTGTTCGTCTTATAATTTTTTCACAACTGCTCCCCTTGCGTCTCTCTGCTCTGGACAGCGCTGAGGTGATCCCGACCCTGACTACAAGCCGCCAGTACTGCTTGCGGAGTTCTGGACGGACCGCAAAGCACCCCCCAATCCACATTATCGCGCCCCTCCTTCGTGCTCAGCGCACCTTGCCCTCCGCCAACCGCCCCTTCCAGCAGCTGCATACGAGCCAGGAATCTAGCCACATTGTGCGAAATTGGCCTTGAATTCCGTCTCGGAGCAGAACTTTCGACTCGCGCGCCGTCTCACCTTTCGCTGAGTGAAACCGCAAACACACACCGTCCCAGCAGTTGCGCCCCGTCGATATTTCACCCGGCGCTTCGTTACATCACGCTTTCCTATCTGCGCCCAATCCGATCGTCGGGACGTGGCCTGGGTTCTTACTGCGACACCGCCATTTTCAAATTCACGACGTCTGACGGATACTTGGAAGAATCTCCGGTTGTGGAGGCTGCGCACTGCGTCCCACTAGACGATTGTCCGCCTGTTTGTCTGTTTCGGTCCGACGTACCACAGAATTAGCCCTGGAGATACCTTACAAGATCAGGGGCGTTCTGGGCATCATACAACATTGCTTTCTAGCTCATAACCCGTTTCAGCGAACGTCTTCAAAGCAAAATGTCTCCCACTCCTCCTTCTACAACCTCCTCGAGTGCTAGCGCATTCTCGCCGGAAGGTCTCCACAAGGTTACTAGGAAGAGGAATCGGGTTCCTCTTTCCTGTGCGCCTTGCCGGCAACGAAAGTAAGTGCCCCTGCTCACTTTTAGTGCGCAGTTGATGGCTCACCATTCCTAAACAGGTTGAAATGTAACCGTGCGCAACCTTGTGAGAACTGTATCAAGCGAGGCGATGCCACATCATGTTCATATGCTCAGGCAAACGTACGAAAGAAGCATCCACCTCAGCTGTCTGCTTCAAGCTCGCCAGACGACATGCAAAATCGGATTGACCGGCTCGAGAACCTTGTTCTGTCCTTAATGACAAACGGTTCACAGTCCGGCGGCCCAGCTGCGGCCCTTGCTGCAATATCTGGCAATAGCAGTAGCACTGGCTCCGTACCACTTACCGGGGATGTTGACATAGAGGACGAAGCGCCTAATGCCCCGGAGGAGAGTGACACCGAGCAGGTCACCAAGTCATTCGGCATAATGAAGGTCGACAATAACAAGTCATGGTATTTCAGCGAAGCTCATTGGGCTACTGTAATGAATGATGTAGGTCTATTTGATTCTCAACCAGCTTCGGTCATTTTGTTGATTATCTACTCTAGATCACGGAAGTCCGCAATTTCTTCCAGACGCACAAGAAACAGTACGAGGAACAAGCCCAGAAATTGGAAGCAACCAAGTTGCCTACCGATGTTTCAGGCTCTGCATTACTGTTTGGAGCTACGAAGCCACTTACCCGAGCGGAAATCATGTCTTCTTTCCCTTCCAAGTATACGACGGACATGTTGATTGAACGATATTTCAGCTGTTACGATCCCTCGACACGTGAGTCAAAGATCATATCCACCTATACGAAGTGTTGTCGGAGCTGATGCAGGAAAATAGATATTCTTCATGGCCCAACCTTCCAGGCCCAGGTAAGTCAGGACCTTTTTCACCTGACGGAGGAGAGGCGTTTCATTAACTGTGGTCTAGTACAACCGTCACTGGGAGGATCCTTCGCAGACGTGCACCGTTTGGATCGCCATGCTCTTTGCCATGATGCGGCTGGCTATGTTATCATATCATCGTGATGGAGACGAGCCACCGGAGTTCCGGGGCAAGTCGTTAGACATGGCGGGCACTTTTAGGAACCTTGTTGCGCAATGCCTTACCTTGGCTGACTTTACCAAATCATATCCAAATCTGATTGAAAGCTTGATATTCCATCTTCATGGAGATCTCTGCCAGACACGGGAAGCGGACGTATCAGTTTGGGTGCTGGTGGGTGTGATCACGAGGTTGGCCATGAGGATGGGATACCATCGCGATTCGAAGATGTTTCCTAACATCACCCCTTTCCAAGGTGAAATGCGCCGCCGAGTGTGGTCCTTCGTGCGGCAAGCAGATCTACTCTGCTCTTCCCAAATGGGTCTTCCAAACATGATTCGCACGTCTGACACAGACACGGAACTCCCCCGAAATTTGTATGATGATGATTTCGACGAGAACTGCAAGGAGCTCCCTCCGTCCCGGCCCCCGAATGAGCCTACACCAATCTCATATCTCATTGCTAAGTCACGCTTGACATTTGTCTTTGGCCGTGTCACTGAAATCACAGCCCCCCTCCAGCCCCCAGTATCCTACGATACTGTTATGGAGGTGGATGCGCAGCTTCGGCGAGCTAGAGACTTGATACCTGAGCATCTGCTTGTTCGTCCAATTGAAGACAGTCCACGGGAGCCTCCCACTCTCATTCTTTCACGGTTTACGGTAAGTTTATCCCGTGAGGTCCGTGTATGGCTTGTCCTGACGGTTTGCAGGTTGCAAGTGTTTACCACAAAGCGCAATGTGTTCTTCATCGAAAATATCTGGTCCGAGCCCATGAGAACCCTCGCTTCACATATTCAAGAAGGACATGTATCGATTCTGCGATGGAGCTGCTGCGGTATCAGTCGTTGCTCCACACTGAAACTCAACCTATGGGACGACTACGAAGTAGACACAATCGGGTTACCTCGCTCGCCTCGACCGACTATCTCCTGGCAGCGACGATTATTTGCATTGATATGTATCATGGACAACGACTTCAGGCTGCAGGCAGAGCATCCAGTGACTCGTATGCTTGGGGCAGAGAGCGACGAGAAGAGGTATTGGCTGCCCTGCAGCGGTCCAAGGGAATATGGGAGGAACTTCAGAACGAGACGATAGATGCCTGGAAAGCAGGCGCTGCGCTTGGAGTGATGCTTTCCAAATTGAACCTGGGATATCCTGAAAGTACTGCTCCTGCGCCGACATTTGAGCCGCAGGATGAGAAACAAAGTGCGGCGATGACCCTGGGCCTCCTCAGCAGCGGAATGAGCCCTGTCAACCCGGGCCATCAAGTCCTTAATGATCCCCCGTACAAGATGACGGAGGCGCCCTTGCCAGCACAGGGCGCACTGGGGACAACGGTAGATATGCCAGGAGCGCCTTCGCCTTTCAACGCAATGTTTGGGCAACTACCGGATATGCAGCTTAATCTGGATTGGGTGCGTATTTCTGTATGATGTGACACTGGCGAGCTCTATTCTAACTAAACTATCACTAGGACGCCTGGGACACCTATATTCAGAATTCGACGCTAGACGCGTCATCACAATGGTGGCCCTCAGCCGATGTGCAACAACAGCAGCAACAGCAGCAGCAGCAGCAAAGCCAAAGTCCTCTGTCACCCGTGCAGCTGTCCGCCGTGCAGAATGGCGGGGCTGATAGACTTCGCTCGATGCCCCGCGGCCCCCCTAACCTTCTCTCTCCGGACAGCAGTGGTTATGACAATAGCAGTCCACTTGCGGCAACAGCCTTTGCCGCCAACCCACTCCAACATCCGAGTAATACAGGGCCGGGAACATGATTCCCTCTCGGCCCCAGTCCGGCTACGCAGTATATAAAGAATAAATGTCAAAAGTTAATGTGGTGGCTAAGTGCTGTATAATTTCTCTGTCCATATGGTTTCCTCTTGGTTAGCTTTATCTCCCCTCATGAGAGGCATGTCTATCTCCTTTTTTATTGGTATATTTTGCGGGTTTGGTGTTTGGATGGGTATAAGATCTGGTAATGAAATGGAGGCTTGAAAGATGGGAAGATGTAAATTAATTAACTATTAGGTGCAAATATGCAATGGCGTTGCGTTAAGTTCTCATTCAATGCTCCAAGGTGCCGCACGGTGGTGCTAATTGTACTACTGGTTGCCAAAATATATATACTAATCTCCGAGCATCAAGAACTGAAGACAAGTACTAGTAGTAGGTAGTAGTATCAATGTAATCCTGTTGCAGCATCTAAAATGTGTGTACTCGTATATACTTCCCAAGGTATATAGAAAAGCAGTAAGGTGGTTTGTAGTGTGAAGCTATATATATACATTAACAAGAAACAAACACATAATACAAACATCATAGCTAATAACATATAGGAACTTGGTACTAACTATAGTCATCCCCCATGGCAGTTACACAACTAGCTTATAACCACTAGGAACTATTCGCAACCGTAGACAACGTTTATAAAGTATTAACTACCATTGTATTACCCTCGGTCTACTACTATGCTACCATTGCAACATTTGTTCCAACAATGAAACAACTACTAGCTACCAGTGCAGTCCATAGCAACAGAACCAGCATCTGATACTGACTACAGTCCAAGCAATATCCAGATTATCCGAACTCCCAGAGCCTAGACAACTAGCCAACCCCAGGTCAAATCACGTGAGAGACCGGGGGCTCGGATCGGACGAACCAGATTTTCCAATCAAGCCGCAGCAGCAGCAGATAGCAGCAGTGCAATTTCCCAACAATCCCAGTGAGGTCAAAAAGAAATCATATCTATTTCTGTTCAAGCCTTGACCAACAGAGAAAATGTAAGTTGATGGTACTGCACATCCCCGAGATGATGTTCTGATATTTGTGTACGTTCTAACACGCTGTTTCGGACACAGGCATTGTTTCCGAGCAGCTTGCCGGCTGCTGTCTTCTACAGCCCCAGCGCCGTTACGCTCAACCAGAGCACTCCCTTCTATCCATTCTCGCCTGGCAGTTCCTGCTCGGATTTCGCAGCCTACTCTGCAAAGTCGTTGGAATAGTACCGATGTTAACAATGAGCGCAAACCTGCGGATGAGAGCGAACAGCGCAATAAGACTGAGGAGCTGGAACAGTCGCGCGAAGAACCCTCTATTCGTTTCATTCAGACAGAACAGAAGTCAGCTAGCCAACGCCCGGCTCAGCAGGAGCAGCCCCGGGAGCAGGAGCAGGAGCAGGAAGCACCTGACGCTGAGAAGCAAGTGGAGGCGCGGAGGCGAAGACTCCAGGAGCCACCGACCCCTAAGGAGACGGTTTTCATCGGTAATGTCTTCTATGATGTGACTCGTGAGGATCTGAAGAAGGCGATGGAGAAGTATGGTGTTGTTGAGAAGGTGGTTCTCGTTCTTGATAACCGGGGAATCAGTAAAGGGTAAGTCAGTTGAAGGGAATTCATTCCTTTTGTGGCAGGGCAGTATAGGGCTAATCACTGTGCGGGTATAGATACGGCTATGTCCAATTCGACTCTATCGACGCCGCCCAGCGCGCAGTGGATGCGTTGAACATGCGTCTGTTCGAGGGCCGCCGCGTGACCGTGCAATTCGCCCAGAACAATGTCTACCACCGCCGGCAATTGAACGCCCCTACCCGGACACTGTACATTGGTAACTTGCCGTTTGAGATGACCGACCGGGATCTTAATGAGCTGTTCAAGGACGTCCAGAATGTCGTTGATATTCGCGTGGCGGTTGATCGTCGCACTGGACAGGCTCGCGGTTTCGCTCATGCCGAATTCGTCAGCACTTCTAGTGCCAAGGCGGCCATGGCGATCCTTGAAAACAAGCTGCCGTACGGACGCAGACTGCGTCTGGATTACAGCAAAGCCACGAGCAGGACCGTGGTTGGCACGGACCAGTCTGCTCCCGCGGAGCAGTCATAATAGTTTGAGTGGTTGGCATCAGGTTATTTCTGCGTAAACTGGTCAGAGGAGGAGAGGTCTCATGTACTTTAATTGAACGATATATCCTACATAGTGTAGGCCTGTATATTAACGAAATTGCATTCGACTGACTGAAATCATCCGGTGATTCTGTATAGGAAGACTGGTATACTCCGTGACATTAATGACAGTCCACGTGACTGTCGGGGAGCCTCGGTATCTTTCCGATCGGCAGCAGCGCCTCTCCGAAACCCCACGTTCGGCGCTCGAGCTGTTCTTCCTCGGACAACTCGCATTTACATCTGCTTTATAATCAACCCTTCCAGATACTCGACATCTTCGCTTCCACTCCTGCATTATTCATGATATAACTGAGACCCTGACTGCTACGATCGTTACTACACACACAATGTCCTTCCTTGGTGGCGCCGAGTGCTCGACGGCGGGCAATCCGTTGACTCAGTTCACCAAGCACGTCCAAGATGATAAGTCCCTACAGAGAGATCGCCTCGTGGGGCGAGGCCCAGGAGGCATGCAAGAAGGCATGCGGTCCCGGGGTATGATGGGAGGACAAGATCAGGTACGAAGTGAACCCTTAACTATCAGAAATCATACATTCTCATCCAGTACTAATGCCCGATTGGTAATCCTATCCAGATGATGGACGAATTCGCCCAACAACCCGGCCAGATCCCCGGTGCTCCCCCGCAACCGTTCGCTATGGAACAGCTGCGACGCGAGCTAGATCAGTTCCAAACCACACCTCCGAGGACGGGCTCCCCCGGCTGGGCGGCCGAGTTCGATGCGGGCGAGCATGCCCGGATGGAGGCTGCGTTTGCCGGGCCCCAGGGCCCCATGATGAATAATGCGTCGGGATTTACGCCCGCGGAGTTTGCCCGGTTCCAGCAGCAGAGTCGGGCTGGCATGCCTCAGACGGCTAACCATGTGGCGTCTGCCCCGTCGCCGATGATGGCTGGGTACCAGCGGCCCATGGGTATGGGAGGGTATATGGGCATGGGTGGAATGGGGATGATGCCGCAGACATTTAACCCGATGGCGATGCAGCAGCAGCCGGCAGAGGCGACTACGCAGGACAAGGGCAAGGGACGCATGGTGGAGCTGGACGACGAGAACTGGGAGGCACAGTTTGCCGAGATGGAGACGGCGGATACCCAGAAATTGGACGATGAGGCCAACGCAGCTGTGGAGGCAGAGCTGAATGATCTGGATAGGTCAGTCCCCCAAGATTCGGGCGATAGTGCCTTTGAAAGCGTGTGGCAACGGGTCCAAGCTGAGACCGCAACAAACAGGAAACTGGCCGAGGGCGAGACCGACTTTAACATTGACGACAATCTGCATATGGGTGAGATGGGCGAATGGGACGGATTCGATACGCTTAACACGCGCTTCCGGAACCCTCAACTAGGCGATTATATGTTCGAAGAAGATAACGTGTTCCGGAGCGTGAGCAATCCTTTCGAAGAGGGAGTGAAGATCATGCGCGAGGGTGGAAACCTCTCCCTGGCTGCCTTGGCTTTCGAGGCGGCAGTCCAGAAAGATCCTCAACATGTCCAGGCCTGGACCATGCTGGGATCGGCTCAGGCGCAGAACGAGAAGGAGCTTCCCGCCATCAGAGCGCTGGAGCAGGCACTTAAGATTGATGCTAACAATCTGGATGCGCTGATGGGACTGGCTGTTTCCTACACCAACGAGGGCTATGACTCGACATCGTACCGCACTTTGGAGCGTTGGCTGTCAGTCAAGTACCCCCAGATTATCAACCCTAATGATGTTTCATCGGAAGCCGACTTGGGCTTTACGGACCGCCAGCTCCTGCACGACCGTGTCACCGATCTCTTCATCCAGGCTGCTCAGCTGTCGCCATCTGGCGAGCAAATGGACCCGGACGTCCAGGTCGGTCTTGGCGTTCTCTTCTACTGCGCAGAGGAGTATGACAAGGCGGTCGATTGCTTCTCTGCTGCGTTGGCGTCCACGGAATCCGGAACGTCGAACCAACAGGAGCAGCTCCACCTGCTGTGGAACCGTCTGGGTGCTACGCTTGCCAACTCGGGTCGCTCCGAGGAGGCGATCGAGGCCTACGAGCAGGCGCTGAACATCAATCCCAACTTCGTCCGGGCACGGTACAACCTGGGTGTGTCGTGCATCAACATCGGCTGCTACCCAGAAGCCGCGCAACACCTGCTGGGAGCGCTATCGATGCACCGGGTGGTTGAGCAGGAAGGTCGAGAGCGGGCACGTGAGATTGTTGGGGGCGAGGGTGGCATTGACGACGAGCAGCTGGATCGCATGATTCATGTCAGCCAGAATCAGAGTACCAACCTGTACGACACGTTGCGGCGAGTATTTAGCCAGATGGGACGACGCGATCTGGCTGATCAGGTGGTGGCGGGGATGGATGTCAATGTGTTCCGACGGGAGTTTGAGTTCTAAGCATAGTATAAGGGGGATATGATGGTCGTGCTCAGCCTGGATTGCTGAGAGATGTTGTCTAGCTGGATGGAAGGGGATGTTTTTGGATATGGATACCATATATGCTTGATTCTCTGCGGACTGGCGTCTACGGAGGGATGCCGTAATGAACAAAGATCATTGAGATATGCAGTGTAAATGAGACCTCGAACTTTCTGTAGATATTCAAGTCTCCTAATTGAGTGGTGTATTTATCTAGCTACGGATTTCCATCCCTTTGTTGTATATTCATGTGGCTGCCTGGGGCCACTCACCCCTTTGCGTCATCCGCATTTGTTTGCCTCGGCTCTTCTTCTACTTCCTCCTTCCAACTCGAACTCCGCACGACTCTCTCGCCGAAGCAAGCACTTCTCTCACCATTCTCCTTACAAGGAGAAGACCCCACCGATACACAATGGCTGTGGTCACCGGTGCTCAACTGATCGCCCGATCGCTGCGCGATCTAGGCGTGACCGTCATCTTCGGCATTGTTGGAATCCCTGTGGTCGAGATCGCCGAAGAGGCCATCAACCTGGGCATTCGATTTGTGGCCTTTCGCAACGAACAGGCCTGCAGCTATGCTGCCAGTGTCTATGGATACATGACCGGCCGACCGGGCGTCTGTCTAGTTGTCGGAGGGCCGGGAGTTCTCCACGCGCTGGCCGGGGTAAGCTTACTCCAGCTTTCTCTCCCCCGCTAGCCAGCTCTTGGCCATCGTGCTAACTCCATACTATCGACTGAGAGCAGATCGGCAACTCCTCCGCAAACAACTTCCCATTGCTAGTCCTCGCCGGCTCTGCTGAGACCACCGGCGTCACTAAAGGCGCATTTCAGGAATTGGACGCCATCTCCCTTCTCACCCCTCACACCAAGCTTGCTGTCCGCGCCTCCTCCCTCGACTTCATCCCCGGCGCCGTCAAGAATGCCTACCGCACATGCTGGTACGGCCGCCCAGGCCCGACTTTCGTCGACCTCCCCGCCGACATCATCCAAGGCAAATCCTCCCCTGGATATCGTCTCCCCCAGCCCGAGACTCTGCTCGTCCCCTCGCCCCCAAAGGCGGGCGGAGACCCAGCCCTGATCCTAAAGGCATCACAGTTGCTCCGCACCGCTCGCTCCCCACTCCTAGTGATAGGCAAAGGCGCCGCATACGCGCGTGCAGAGCTCGGGATCAACCAGCTCGTGGATCAGACCCAGATTCCATTCCTACCCACACCCATGGGCAAGGGCGTCGTGCCGGACTCGCATCCCTTGAACGCATCCAGCGCGCGCAGCGCAGCCCTAAAGCACGCCGACGTCGTCCTGATCCTAGGCGCACGTCTCAACTGGATCCTCCACTACGGCGAAGCACCCAAATGGAATCCAACGGCCAAGATCATCCAGGTGGACATCTGCGCTGAAGAAATCGGGCGCAACGCCGGGACAGCGGAGCTCGGAATCCTAGGAGACATCGGACTGGTCGTAGACCAACTGCTCTCTTCCCTCTCTAATTGGACATACTCCCCTAATCCATCATCCACCAAAGACAACAAAGACACATTCACATCCATCCTAACCACCTCCGCCAACCGCAACGAACTCAAAGCCCAAACCGCTGCCCTCCGCCCCACCCCGCCAAACACTCCCCTCACCTACCAGCGCGCCTACCACATCATCAAATCCACCCTGAACACCCTCTCTCCCTTTGAACAAGGCAAAATCATCTACGTCTCCGAAGGCGCCAACACAATGGACATCTCCCGCTCCATCTTCCCGCTCAACCATCCCCGCCAACGCCTCGACGCAGGCACCTACGCCACGATGGGCGTGGGAATGGGATACATTGTCGCAGCGCATGAAGCATACAACGCCATCCCTTCACCCTCATCCACCAAACAAAAGAAAATAGTAGCCTTCGAAGGCGACAGCGCCTTCGGCTTCAGCGCCATGGAAATCGAAACCCTAGCGCGGTACCGCATCCCCGCGCTTATCTACGTAGTCAATAACTCGGGCATATATCATGGGGATTCGGTGAGTGAGGATGATTGGAGGGTGTTGCAGGGTCAGACGGTGGGGAATGATACGAAATCCGAGTCTGGGTCTGAGAAGGGAAGTGGTGGAGGGACGAAGGGGCTACGCTCAACGAGTCTCCTCTATGAAACTAGATATGAGATGTTGGCGACGATGTGTGGCGGGAAGGGATTCTTCGTTAGGACGGAGGAGGAGTTGGAGAGGGCGACGAGGGAAGGGTTCGAGAGTAAGTGCGTTACGGTTGTCAATGTTATTGTGGAGCCCGGGATTGGGAAGGAGATTGGGTTTGCGTGGCAGGGTAAGGGCAAGGGGGATTCTTCTACTGGTGGGAGGGAGGCGAAGTTGTAGGTGATGTGCGGTAACATACTAGATTGCACTTCATGCTGTCTGTACATTTCATGGAATATACATCGCTATATACGCTCAATGTATAGCACTACCTAGTATGTAGTATCTAGGGCTCCTGCAAAACCTCATCTACTACCTTGGCTACCGAAACGGCCTTTTCTTCGCCAAAGCGGCCTCCGACGATTTGTACAGTGATGGGCATGTCTTTGACCAGGTCGGGATCATCTAGATCATAGTGATAGGGTTAGCTATTATCCCCGATAACCGTATGTATGGAAAGGAGAGTATGCATACACTGTTCCCAATTAAACCGATCCGAGTCATTCCTAGGCACATGCTCCAACCACTCCTGATCCGGCTGATCAAGTGCTCCATCCACTTTAGCCACCGGAACAGTAACAGCCGCGTAGTTGAGCAAGTTCCAGAGAGCCGTGTAGCCGAGCCACTGGGAGCTGACGACCCAGGATTTTGGCCGGTAGCCGACCCAGGGCGTGACGGGCATGAGGAGGGCGTCGATGTTGCTTGATGTCCATTGCTGGAGGAAGCTGGTTTGGTAGGCCCATTTGGTCTCTTCGAGCTATATGTTTGTATTAATATAAGCATTGGAGAGGTAGAAGATTAGGGTATGGGACCGACCTCTTCGCGTTCTGAGATGGTCAGCTCATCTTTTTCTGTCCCTACAACCATCCCTTCTATCAGTGGCTCTCCAACAATGTCGCATAGATAGCGACAGTGTTGGCCTCCGTCGGCGAGGATGGCTTTTGTCCAGAGGTTTTGGCCTGTGGTGTGGAGGGAGGTGTCCCATTCGAAGACTTGTCTAGTCAGTGAAAGCTGATTGATGAGGTAAGAGGGAGATTGTAGATTGTGTACACACCTTCATGGCCAGCTTCTTTGAGTTTCTTTGCAACTTCGCGCATTGCCCTGGCGATTGGGGGCTGTGGTTTTACCACGCCGTCGTCGTAGACAATTCCGAGTCGTAGTTTACCAGTGGGCTTCGCTGCAAGTTCCTTTCTCCAGGGAATTGGGATGCAGCCCGGATCAATATTCCAAGGATTGGAGTCGAGGAGGGATTGCATGAAATGTTCAATGCTGGAAAGACTGCGGGCCATGGGTCCTGCGACTGGAGGAACAAGGTAGTGCTGGTGCATGCTGGGTATGGTCAGCTATGGTCTAGAATCAGTAGATAGAGATGGACACGTACAACGAGCAGTTCCATGGCACTCGACCTGTAGTAGGACAGATTGAGTATAAACCCTGCAAATTGGCCGGGATACGAATCGAGCCCCCGATATCTGTCCCTATACCAACGACACTGCCACCCGTGCCAATGAGGGCGCCTTCGCCGCCGGAACTCCCACCGGAGATGAGTTGTTTGTTGAAGGCATTGATGGATTGTCCGAACACATGGTTGTAGGAATCAGACATCTGACTTAATCAGAATCTCCCATCATGCGAAATGTAAAAGGGTGATTGCATACCATCAAAGACTGTGGTACATTCGTCTTGACATACAATACTGCGCCCATTGACTCCAACGACAAGGCAATACTGCTGGAGCTTTGCGCGGGTTTGCCCACTAGCCCAACCCAGCCTACATACCACTAGTTAGCCAAGGCTCCTCTCCCAGCAGCAGTGATGCTAGAACATGGATACGAACCAACGGTTGTATCATATCCCTCGACATCAAACCGATCCTTAATTGAAACCGGCAGCCCATGCAACGGCCCCGTCACCTTTCCTGTCTTTTCCAAAATATCATCGAGCTCCTTAGCCCGTGCTAGCGCCCTATCGAAGAAAATCTCCGTCAAGCACTTGGTAAGCTGCTGGGCGACGGCCGCGCGCTTACAGAACGCCGTCGTAAGCTGAACGGAGCTAATCTCACGGTTCGCCAGCATGGAAAGCAGCACAGTACTATCATTAATCTCCGTCCATTCCTGCTCTTTCTCCGTGAGAATATCACAAGAGCGGATTGCCTCAAGAGCATTGAGTGGCGGATCGGCAGTGATGGACTCCGGGAGACGCCAATCAGGTGGAATGGCGGCCAGCTGAGCTGCGCGCTTCTTGTGCACGGTTGATTTCCAGGTTGGGATAGTCATGGCTTTTGTTCCTATATAGCTTTGCGAATATTGAATGTCTTTGGTAAATGGGTAAGAAAGGGTATGGAGGATTGAGACTACTGATGGTTCCAGAGTCGTACGGTGGTGGGAGGTCACAACGCCGGACTTAAAGCCAGACGGGTATCAGGTGTCCTACAAGACATTCCAACACGGTTGGCTATCATGGCAATGAACCAAGGGAGGAGATAAGTTGCACGGCCGGATGATATCGGTGGTGCTGCCAATCATGGGCTCCTGATCGCCTTATCCTGCCTATCTCGGGGGAGGATGGATTAGCTTTCTACCCGGATGATGCTGCGGGGATGGGAGGGGAAGCTGACCGGATTTGGTGCCGATTTCCCCTCACGAATAGAAAGCTTGCTTTTGGAGGGATGGAATGATGGGAAGGAAAAGAGGAGAAGGGAGAAGGAATGGAAGAGGTGAAAGAGGATGGGAGGGTCGGATGAAGGGCCCGCCAACCATGAAGCTCGGTCAGGCGCCGAGGCACCAGACTTACGGCAGAGACAAAACACGAGCAGATACAGAGATATGCTTGCTTGGATATTTGATACTATGGTACATATAGACGCCCCCTACACTGTGATCAACATGCTGGCATTCTTATACCAGGTTAGGAGCGGATTTTCCCCGTTCTTCGTCTCCGTGTCCTCAATATACGCCCATCGGCGCATGAAGTCTTCGTGGCTCATCACTTGCGTCAGCTTGCCCGTGACAGCACGGTAGATGTCTTCAGTAGTGTTGAAATCGGTAGGGAAGAAAATATCGAAGTATCCTTGGTGGACCTAATTCATAGTCAGAATACGGCCAATCTAGCACATGGAAGAAGGTGAGGGAGGGAACATACGAAGGGCGTCGATACTGGAACTGTCCGTCTCTTGTACCGCGTTTGCACAACGGGCGCATTCACACCCGGCACGGCATCCGGGAGAGTGTCAAAGTCACTCGCAATCAGGCGGTGGCCCGGGAAATAGGTGTTCAGAATATCGAAGAATTGCATGAGTCGGGTGGGGATGTACTCCGGCAGAGTGTAGCGATGGCCCTGCTGCCACGGCAGCTGACTGCGCATCAACTTCATGTACTTGGAGGTCAAGGGAGTGCGGAACTTCCGCCGCGCTGCAGCCTGGCGCACTCGCAAAAAGCGAGAAGCAATCGGATCCAGCTGCGTATTGTAGTACTCGAGAAACTCGCCGTTGGCGTCGATCAGTACTCCACCCTGCTGAGGCAGCTCCGTCTTGAGGTCGTAGCGAATCTGATCATGGGAAAAGTTATCGAACACCTCCAGCGCCAGGAAGAAGCATGGCGAATGCACATAAGTATCCCAGTCGAAAATCGAGCGGTTGATAATCTCCACACGGTCCGAATGGCCGGCCGCATCGAGCGAATCGGTCAAGTTTTGCATCTGAAGCGATGCCAGCGACGGCGAAATCTCAATGATCTTGTACTTGGTCCGCTGGTAGACCTCGTAGTCGGTGTCGCGGATATAATCCAATATGTTCATCATCATTGTTCCATTTCCGGCACCCATTTCGTATATAATCAGGTCGTGGTAGGGGTACAACGTCAACTTGTAGTTCGACACCAAGTACCGTGCGATCGTCTCTCCGTAATAAGGTCGGAAAAGCTCCGTTGGCGTGTGCCACAACTGGCGGGCAACATCTGGATTGGTTTCATCCAGCTGGTCTTCAAATTCGTGGTAACGTTCCCCAAGCATGCGATAAAATGCTGGACCGTCCTCGATCTCGTTGAAATAGAATGGCTCTCCGGGGCGGAAAATGGTGGCATGTTTCGAGAAGTAGCCATAATTGTGATTGTATAAACTGTCTAAGAAAAGAGATGAGACAACATCATTAGCGCCAGCGACCATCAAACACACAGTGGATAGGCTTCCCAACCATCGATGAATTCTCTCGTCAGCATCTTCACTTGTCGCGGCCGCTCACGATGATGGCGGAGCTCTTTGGCCGTTACCAATGGGTAGGCCTGCAATTGCTCTTCGAAGTTGTCGACATTTTGCATGACATGTTCTCGCGGAGTCCATAGTGTTCCAGGATCTAGTTTTGAATGTCCAAAGATGCGTTGCTTGAAACTTTGGAAACTAAGGTTGCGAGACTGTTGGCGGGATGGGGTGGACGACAGGCGCACGCAACCCGGTCGGCGCCCCGACAGGGCAGATGAGGATCTCCAGGATTGTCGACAGGCAGGATGTTGAAACAGCTGCCGAAACAGCTGATTCAGGACTGGCGAGTCCATGAGTAGGGATTGGCGGCGAGCAGCAGCAAAGCGCAGGCCGAGGAGGAACCGTGAAAGACGAAGAGTAGAGCGAGAGAGTGAGGAGGTCAGGCGACGAATCACGAAATCCATTGGCGGAGTTGCTCTGGTTGGCCCGAGCTTTTTCTCCGGCCTCTTCTCCGACCAGCTTCTGACGTAGATGAAATTGATATGATTTATATTTTTCTCTTCTCTGCAGTCACTCGTACTTGATCCCCTATAAGCATGGATGACCGCTCGCATCTGTATATCGGCACTGCCTTCGTCGCTGGTGTCCTTCTCACGCTGGGGTTTAAAGATCTTGTCTACCCGGAATTAGAGCGCCGCGTCAAAGACTACTACTACTACCAGGCAAGCTCGCAAGAGAAGACAGCAGCAACCTCTGAAGATGCCTTGAGCGCCAGACCGGGTCCTCCAGCGATCGTTGAAGGCATTGAGGGCTGCATTGGAAACACACCTTTGTTCCGAATCAAATCATTGTCCGATGCGACGGGGTGCGAGATTTTGGGCAAGGCCGAAGTACGTCATTCCACTTCTACTTCGTCCATATCTACATTGATCCTGTAACAACAATAAACGGGGTATATCTAACAAGGCTATAGTTCCTCAATGGAGCTGGACAAAGCTCCAAGGACCGTGTGGCGCTGAGTATGATCCAGATAGTAACGCAATCCCACCCACCCCTCTGGACTGTCTCTTACATTCCCCGCAGGCCGAAGAACACGGTATCCTGAGACCTCATTCAGGAGACACGATTTATGAGGGCACTTCCGGCTCTACGGGGATCTCCTTGGCTACCTTGGCCCGTGCGAAAGGCTATCTCGCGCACATGTTCGTATCCCATAGTTACTTCCTTTCCTACAACTCTGCTACAAGCTCTCATATTAACGGCACTCCCCAGTTGTATGCCATCAGACCAAGCGATTGAGAAATCCAACCTCCTCCTCAAATTAGGCGCCATCGTCGACCGCGTACCACCCGCGCCCATAGTGGAGAAGGACAACTTTGTGAACCGCGCGCGAGCCCTTGCGCAAGCGCAAACCGCATCGAACACAGACGGAAGAGGTTTCTTTGCCGACCAATTCGAGAACGAGTCCAACTGGCGGGCACATTTCAGTGGCACGGGCCCTGAAATCTATGCGCAATGCGAGGGGAAACTGGATGCTTTCGTGGCGGGCGCTGGGACTGGGGGTACCATCTCTGGTGTGGCACTCTTCCTGAAGCCAAAGATACCGAACTTGCATGTGGTACTGGCCGACCCTCAGGGAAGTGGCCTGTACAATAGGGTTCGTTTTGGCGTCATGTTCGACTACAAGGAGAAGGAAGGCACTAGACGACGGAGACAGGTCGATACTATTGTTGAAGGAATTGGGATCAATCGTGTGACGGCGAACTTTGAGGCTGGGAAGGAGCTGGTTAATGACGCAGTCAGAGTGACGGACGCTCAAGCTTTGGCTATGGCTAGGTGGCTTGTAGAGAAGGACGGCATATTCATCGGCAGTAGCAGTGCCGTGAACTGTAAGTGCTCCCAAAGATTCCTTTGGCGTGTCAATCATGCTAAATCTCCCATCACACAGGCTTCGCGGCAGTGAAGACGGCAATGAAGTTGGGACCCGGTCACAGGATTGTGACAGTGCTGTCTGATTCGGGTTCGAGGCATCTTTCTAGGTTCTGGGCCAAAGCCGGAGATGTTGGTGGCGCCGTGGATACAAAGCTGGAGGATGTTTTGAACGCGAAGGAAGAGGAATATTAGAAGCTACGATTCAGTGCGGACAGCATGGGGTTCGTCACAGGCAAAGAAAGACAAGGCAAGAGAAAAGGTATCATTAATGGGCCTCCGGGAAGATCCCCGGCCAGGGGCGACAAAGCCCAAACATGCTATTCCCGCTATGCATGATGCTGATGCTAGTGTCGGACATGGTGGCGGCCAGAACCATGCTCGTTGGCGCTGAAACCGACCACCTGGGATCCCCTCGGCCTTACCCGGACGAACCGTGGCGGTGGCTCCCATTCGCGCTAGATAGAACCGCGCGATTGTCTACGGCGTCCTGTCATCCAGACTTGCTCTAGTGGGTCGTGGCATGAATCTGGCAAAAGGTCGTGCTCGGGGCGATCGTCCCCACTGACTGGTTGCACGTCTTGATTCGAATCGAACTCTGACTCAGTTGCCGCGAATCGGCTTTATCCCGTCCTTGTCAGTCGACGCGGGCGCCCAATGATTATTCTTCGTGGGAACTAAACGGCTCCGCCACTCCAGAGCTGCAATAGTTCAAATTCGATCTCCGCAAGTGGGCGTCCAGGAAGTCTTGCACGGACGGTGGCCCACGAGAGGTTGTGTTGGTCTTTGATTTTGGTCAGCTCTTCCCGCTCCTGTTTGGTCCACGGTCTGGACAATGGAGGCGGGTTCGCTCGGCGTTCACTCCAGTGCGTTTTATTCCAATTAAGGAGTTGGGGCAAGTTTTTGTGTGGAAGTTGGTCGACAATCTCGTTCCATTTTCTCCCCTGTACTTGCCTCATCTCAATAATTAACCTTGCTTCATCTGGACTAATGTACGTCCGAACACGTTTCTTCGTAGGCGTCGTCGTATCAGGATCGCCTGGAGGGTTCTCCGCCGATACATTCGTTATACTTTCAGAAGAAGCCCCACTCTTTTGGGCGGAAGTGCTGGTCGCTGCTGCCCGCTTCTCTGAATCATGAGAGTCGGTTACGGCGGCCAGATGCTTCCGCATGGCTGCCTGATCATGTTGGCCATCGGGGGCCTGGGATAGAATGTCCTTCAGATGGGAAATGTAATCGGAACGAACAAAGTATTGCTGGCAAGACGCGCATCGGTTCTTCGCACGGCTTGGCGGGTGTGATTCCGAGCGCTTTCCTCGGATCTCCATGCCCCGTTTGGGCGTCGGCGAGGGCTCATAGTCTTCCTGCAACGGATCGTCGGATTCGTCTCCGTCTGGCGTCTCTGCAAAGGACCAGTCGCACACGACGGGGCTGGAATGATGCTTCCTCCCCTGCGGTGACCTCTGAGGCTTCGTTGCGCGTTTTTGTCCAGAGCCCCGTCGAGAGGACCAAGGAAGTGCCCAGATAGATCTTGATCCCGGTGGAGACTGAGACCGCACAGTATTGAAAGAAGGCGCAGGACGTGACTTGTTCCATGTAGGCGTAGCAAAGTCCCCGCTAATTTCAGGAACGCGCCATATCGCCTCCACCGCCTCACTGAACTTGACTTCCTTGGATTGGGCGGATGCTTCAGCCGCAGAGTTTGCTTTTTCGATGGCCGGTTTCCCTGTGGCATCTGCCGTCACCTTTCGGCCCCGAGAGCCACCCGGGTTATTCTGGACGCATAATGCAGTATCCAGCAGCGAGTCCGAACTAGACCCCTCATCGTTGGTGTCCGGGTCGTCATTGGCTGCTTCGCCTATAATGGCGTCCCATGGCTGGTCCCGGACCAGCCCTGTTTGCGATGGCATCGACGCCGGTGGATGCTGCGATTGCGTGCCGCCGTCATCTCCTGCAGCATCACCTCCGATTTCTTCTGCATCAGGAGAATGAGCAGAACTGCCCAACGCAACATTATCCGCTTCGGGATTTGAAGGTGCAGTAAAGTCCGTCTCGAACAGCCAACCATTCTGTTCCCCGGTATCATCTTCACCCTCCATGGCCTGGATGTGGCCATTGTTCACAATTATATTTCCGGTTTGCAAATCAATTTCGTCGCCAACGTCGGTAAAGTCCTTGCCGTATTTTTCAAAAATGCCTTCGAAGATCGACTTCAAACGGAGATCATTCTGCGCACGTGCTTCGTGAATGTCCATATCGTCCAGCTCTTCCTCGGGTTCCGGCCCCATGGAGAAGCGTGGTCTTTTCGCAGGCCGTTCCATTGTCTCTTTTTGTCTCGTTGAGCTATAGTTGTATTATCTTGGGTGCGCTTGAGGGGGAGAGTAGCGACGAAGAAGGATTCCAGCGCTGCTTCTGCGGAACAGAACACCGAGCAAAAAGGTCGTTTGATTCAAGGTTGTGGCATCGCCTGCTGAAAGCTCTTTACACTTGTAGTTAGTAAGAGGTAGCGCAAAAAGTAAAGCAGCGGAATGACCGATTCATAGAGACAGACACAGAACCAAACAAGGTAGAACAGAGTAAGGACGGAGCAGTTATTGACATAGTAACTCCCGAGTACACAGAAGAGGGACATTTCAATGTCTGTTGAACAACAAAAACACATTTCAAGAGCTTTGAGACAGGCTCAGCTCGAAGTGTTTAACACGGACTATGCATACCTTTTAGAGTCTCAAACCAACCGACTTTGCATTCCGGCTGTCTGAAGCTGCATTGAGTGAACAGAACCATTGGAACTCCCGGTCGGGGAAAGAAAGACGCCAAAACACGCGCCGCGCACGGATTGCCGCATGACGTCTCGCGAAATGCGATCCCCTGCCGACCATCCCAACATCCCTCTCGTACTTCTCGGTTTCTCCCTGGCTCCCGTCAGACAAACCACCATTTCCACTTCACGACCATAATGCCAGGGCGGCTATTCCCATCATTTCGCCATGTATTGCCAGAAGTGCCGGACTCCCTTGAAGTTGGATGGCTCTCTAGAGTCCCTCAACCCCGCCGCCTTCGACCTGCTGATCGGTAGGTAATCTCAGCTTTGGCCTCTCCTCTCTCTCTCTAGTTGCCCGGAATCGAGCCGGAAATTAACCATATCTCTCGTCGCAAACTATCCAGGCTCAACAGGTAGATCCCTGCCAGACCATGGCACCCATTCGTCATCCCGACCTTCCTACCCCCAAGAGCGACGAGAGCTTTACGACCGGGCCTCTAAGCATGCTACATCACCGGTGTATCGAAGATCGGTTCCAGCTCCCCGCCAGGCAGGCAGTAATCAGACCAACCCTCCCAGGCTAGGCCGAGGTGACAGTGGTAACATGTCGTTTGTGATGCTCACGGAGTCTCAAGTTGGGCCACCACATGGACTGTCTGGTATCAGCGGCGATAGTCCCTCGAACAGTAAGCCGCCGGTCAGCACACAGTCCAATGATCGCGGGCCGGACGACGCATCCTTCGCAGATCAAGTCGAACGAACAAGCCGGCTGTTTGATATAATCTCCGCGCGATCCGACATTGACCATCCTATCTGCACGGAATGCACCGAGATGCTCGTGGACGGTTTACAGCAACGACTAGTAGATGCCACAAAGGAGCGGGATGCATACATTTCATTCTTGCGAAACCTGAATTCCTCTGTCCCCACAGCTGAAGAGCTCGAGGCGGCCCAGAAGTCGCTACAGGAGACCTTGGACGCGGAAAAGCTCGCCTTTGAAGAGCTCCTTGCGTTGGAAATAGAGAAACAAGCTTTGGATGAAGAAATCGCCGGCTTGGAGGAGGAAGCTCGTCAATTGGATCTTGAAGAAGAAAAGTTCTGGCGTGATCGCAATTCATTTGCTTTGACCCTCTCCGATTTCCAGAACGAACGCGATGCGCTAAACATGAAATACGACCATGACTCTCGCCAGCTTGAGAGACTACAAAGGACCAATGTGTACAATGATGCCTTCTGCATCGGTCACGATGGCTACTTTGGAACGATCAATGGGTTGCGGCTTGGTCGATTGGCTAACCCATCAGTAGATTGGCCCGAGATTAATGCTGCTTGGGGTCAGACAGCGCTCCTTCTGGCAACCATCGCCGACAAGTTAGGCTTCCAGTTTCAAGGGTATCAAATCAAGCCAATGGGATCTATGTCCAGAATAGAGAAGATCGAGCAGTCTCGACCATCCCCGGCTCAGTCGGCGCTGAGTGGAGCAAATGCGATGTCATCCGCACCTCCCAAGATCACCGTCCTCGACCTGTTCTCGTCGGGCGAGCTGCCTCTAAATCTTCCTTGGCTTCACCGCCGGTTTGATGCAGGCATGGTGGCGTTTCTGGAATGTTTACGTCAACTAGGTGAATTTGTGGAGAAGACGCCGGTGCCTGTGCCCTCAAATCGCCGGGGTCAGGCCAACACTGCAGTGCCCGGATTGAAGCTTCCATACGAAATCAAGCGCGACAAGATTGGCGACGCCAGCATCAAGCTTGGCTTCAACCAGAACGACGAAACCTGGACCCGTGCGTGCAAATACACCCTGACCTGTTGTAAGTTCCTGCTGGCGCATGCGAGCAACGTTGCTAGCGCGGGATCCAGTAATTCTGCTGCCGTCGCAGCAGCAGCAGTTGCAGCTGGCGAACAAGCTGGGATGCCTACGACTAACCCTACGACCAAATGAAGCCGTCATATGGTATAGACCGACAGTGCGGGATTAAACAAAACTGCAACCCCCTGCCCTGCTTCACTACCTTTGCAATTATTAATGGGACTGATTCCCATCGACCCTGCAGCTTACAACCCGATGTTGGGTAACGTACTTTGCTCATCATAGCTCTCACCGGATGGACTTGATGAAACTTGGATGGATGAAAGCAAATACCTGGTCATGAGCAGTGTGAGGTGGCAGCATGGCACTTCAGCATGTATTCAACCCACCATGCTTTCTCTTCCTTGCGTCACGCGGTTGTAGCATGACCACCAGCAGCAACCTTTTTCCCAGTGAAACTTAGCAGCATATGATCAACGATACCGCGCAGTAGTTGCTATTTACGTATTGCCTCTTTTGTCTTCTCCCGTGGCCAGTTTTTGCGTCCGAAGCCTGGCGGTGTCGGAAGAGAACGATGATCACCTCGACAAGCCGGCTGGGATCCAGTGGACCGGCCCTGACAGGGATAGACAGGCAGGGAAGGTGTCACTTGAGTCTCCTTCTGGTATTGGCTGAAGGTTCAGCCTGCCTTGACAGATGCCTTTGAGCAAAATGTGGTAGAGACGGGAGATCGTCCTCTAGTTGTCGGGAGCAGTGTGTGAGAGAAGCGAGAGTGTGGGTGGGTTCTCCGGAATCTGACACGACCAGACACTCAATCCTGTAAGCGAGATGCAGGATTGGCTTCATGAATGACTCCTGCGTACGATTATCCTTGGAGGCAAGATAGACAGTGGGCCACATGGGAGCCAGCCATGGCTTCCCTTCCAACGGACATGACTGCCTTGCCTGGACTTGTCTGCCTGCTTTCCTGCCTGTCTCACCCCCCATTGCTTCTTTTAATCACAGACACCCGCAGACTCGCCATCTCCTGCGCTCGCATCCTGATTGGACTGCAGCGCCTTCATCTCAATTTCGCAGGTCCGGCGTGTCGGGCGCGCCAAACCCCCAGGTTCCCTGCAAGTCCGAACGAAAGGGCCAAATGGACGAAAGTTGACGCCGCGTCGCGGGTGCGAAAACAAAGGAAACAAAGGGAAAATCAGCCTAGAGATGCAGCCACCATCATTCGGACATTGTGCGGATCCATGGCGCCGGGTCTTTACCCACTTTCTCAATCTCGCCCTCTCATCCTCTTCCCTCTCGCTCCTGTTTCGTTTCCCCCCCTCCTTCCAATGTCATACAGATAGCCCAGGGATGATCCTACAACTGTCGCAAAAGAAATCATAACCTACTGCTGGGAATGTTTCGGCCCGCCCCCGGGGGGAGCCACACCCCTAAAAAAAACCACGCTAGATAACTCCTACATCCCATGCTAATCCACACGAGGAGAGGAGAAGAGGAGAAGAAGGAGGAGGAGAAGGTGGTGGTAGTGCACCATCGTCTCCATCCATCCATCCCATTCCCTTTCCCCTCCTCATTTTTCCTCTTCCTTCTTACACTGATGTCCATTAGCGCATGGTCTAACTGACGGACTGGCGGGCGCGACACGCACGGGAAACGGAAGCACTATTCACGGCGCGACATTAGCGTCTTTCGCTCAGTTTTTTCTTTCCTTCTCCTTTCGTCTTTTCAAATCCCTGGTCGAATTGATACTAGATACATACATACATACACACATACACACATACACACATACATAACTAATTAGGAGATTTTGCAATAAATCCAAGTTACTATCCGTCAACCCTCATCACTATCAACTTAAACCCCCCGACTTTCTGTCGGTCATAAATTCACAAACCAAATTACTAGGCGTATTCCCCCTCCGTAAGTAGTAAGTAGTTTATCACTCACCATGTATAATAATCTGTAATATGAATATCCCCAAGGGTCAGTTCCTCTTTTTCATATGTACTTTTGCCCCAAACCCCCCAGTACTTATCACCTACTTACTATATACTTACCCCCATTAGCCCTGTTTTGCTCTGGAAGTCTAGTAGTACCTATTTCTCCTCACATACTAGTACTATAGTCCAGTGAACAAGGGACAAGACTCACACCGTATAACCGTAGCTAATCCTGCCTCACTTAAGTATTAAGCCAGCAATAAAACAAAAGCACGTTCTGTAGGTTAGTAAAGAGAATCTTGTATTTTATTTAATCTATGTATGTATGTATGCAAGTTTGGATATGCCGCCGGTGGTTGCCTTGTTCCATATCCGGTGTATGTATTGATGCCGTAACGGAGTAGATACATACATACGGCCATACATACATGTATACATAGTAGCCTGCCTGATTAGTCTTGAAAAACCGTAGTAATATTGTAATGATCGCGGTCGTGCATGCAGTGCTTTGTTTCAGCCCTTACGTGATGCTAACTAGACTAAATCTTGGGGCGGATGATATTCGAATGCAAAAGAGAGAGGGGGGAAGGAGAAGGGCATCTGGACTACTACTTACTATCCGGCTATCTGCTTACTTACCTAGATAGGTATGGGTTGATCATGACTGCATGTAGGTACTTTTGGCCGGGTGATTTCCGGCGGAGGAAGAATCAGAGACAAGAAAATGATTTTGCTTCTTGTATTTCTTTTCTCTCTGCGTTTTAATTCCTTTTTCTTATACTTATCAGAGGGTGCCATGGTGATATTGCCTCGGTATGGCGTAACGAGTTAGAATGGATTTCCCGACGCTGAAAGGCAGGAATTATCAGGATGGAGTATCATACCGTATCGCGTATCTTTAAACAGATAGCACAGATACGGCAGTTTGGGGCAGGGAAGGGAGGGTTTGGTGGGCAGGCTTCGATGTGGTTAGAGCTTAAGAGGCTAGTCCTCGAGAAAAGAAATCAGCCGTCAGTTGTGATATGTCGTGGTCGATAACTTGATTCTCACGACGCCGACGCACTGCGATGATCGGCTGAACTTGGCCTTCTAGTGCCAATGCATGGAAGCATTTTGAGTAAATCCTATGTCAGCTGCAAAGAGAGTGCCCGACAGACAGCAGGACGCCGAGGCGTTGAAGCATAGATCCCCACCACACTGGACGGAAGGATTGAAATGTTCGGCTCTTCCGCAGAGCCCACTAGGTTAGCCTCACCATGTTGAGCAACATTCGGATAGTGCTGACCCAAGCGAGGATGGTCTTTCGGATCTGCTGGCGGACACAGCATGTAAAACCTTAGATCGAATGCTGATGGTGGACACTCCAACCCCAAGAACGAGAGCCATCAGGGGCAACAAATCAATCCAGCACAAGCTCTTTCACCATTCATCGGTCCATATCTTACACCGTGCAATGTGGCTGGCTGGAACCCTCCCACGAGGATGGGCGGTCCTTGAAGAACATTGGCTAGCATACGCCAGAGCAAGAAAGTGAGTTTCTGTCGTCCTCAGCTGTGCTCAGCAGGACTCAGCTCACTCTGCTCTATGGGTCACAGCAGAGGAGCAGAGTAGACATCATCAGGACCAGATGACACATGCACTATGTACAAGGTTGTGGAAGGTTTGCCCAAAAAGTGCGAAAGTACCAAGCTGACCTCTGTCAGCCCTTGGCTAACTGGCACACCTTGCTGAATGTCCTGGTTCGTTTTCCAAGGCAATGCGCAGCGCCGGGGCTCCAATAGCCTGAATCGTTATCGTGCACCGAAGCAGGTGGATCGGACTATAATGGCAAAATGGTGCCTTTCCCACAGCGTTGTACCGGTACAGAAAGGTAAGGAACACAAAGCCACTAACCATGGCTTCAGGTAGTTATATCACTTAAGTATAGAGCCCTAGGCAGTCTGTGCTCCCACCGTTCGTGCTCTCTGTGGCTGTTCTGATGTCATCAAACTTGAAGATCCCCATGGGCTGAGTGAGTTTTTGCCCGCAGTGAGTGATGGTGAGACACCGATCAGGACAGAAAGTGTATTGTTCCCCGAGGGTGCTAGTGGCGAATCCCATGCACTGGTCGACGACGGCGAAACCAAGTTGATCAGTGGCCGGTTTAGTGAGGCACACAATACTTGAAACGAACCGATTCCAACCCTGACAGCCAAAAAGAAACAACAGTTAGGGTAACAAGAACAAGGACATTGATCCAACCTACTCACTTGTCAGACTGCATTGATGTCCGTTCATGTTGAGTCTGAGTCCCTTGAGGCAGCCATAATATTTTCTAAACTGTAAGGACAGGAACAACACCAGCTACTGAAATCCTGAATATTCCACGGTAGTTGTGCTCAGGCCGACTCGGCAAGCTTGGACAGGTATTAAGAAGGAAGATAGTCCATACAATGGCTCCGGTCGTAAATACCGTACCTATGCTCTTGTTGTATTTTTGCATCCCCGGCTGAAGTTTGGGTGGGAAAAACGGGCGGACCTCCGATCCGAACCGTCAATTTGACGGGCCGAAAGTTCCAGCTGTCGTTGAATGTCGTCCCAAGGTTGTTGCTCATGAAGAAACCTGATATTGGGAATTTGGGCGACCCTCACGGCGGAGAAATTATTAGATGGGCGCTGCAGTGGAGATCATCCAGAATGTGAACAGGGAAGAATTGAAGTGATCCCTCCCTCTTACTCTCGGAAAACGAGGCAATTCATCCCCCCTGATCAAGGGAGCGTCCAAGCCACAGTCATGGAAATGAAAGTTTCGCTTGGGAGAGCTCAGGCCTCATCCTATGATCCTTGCTATGATCCAACTTTGCCACATCGGGTCATGAGCCCACTCATCAGGACACGGACGCGTGTTTGGAAGTCCCGTCCCGAAGATCCACGAATCCAACTCAAGCCAAAGAAAAATAAAAATGTCAGCAAAGAGACAGCAAAAGAATGTAGCCGCAGTCCATCCATCCACAACTTGATTATAAAGTGATGGCCGAGAATTAAGGCGAGTGTTGGCCCATTCCTGGTGATTTGGCATGATCATGATCGCTCCTGCCCTTTCTAGATCGCTGAATTCTAGGCTTCATTGGCACCTTAAGCAGATCTCGGGGCGATGTTAGAGCGAACAGGAGGACATCCTTCCCCGACACTCTTCCCCTCTCCCTCCCCCCTGTCAAGCTTGAGAGGAACGAGCTCCTTGGTGTCAGGAGCCTACTAGTAGTAATTAGGAGACGCAACGGAAGTATGACTGGGGTTTGGATATATACGTTGGAGCTAGATGGATCCTTCGAGTTGTTGCACCTGCAGAAATGGCGCAGATTTTATATGAAGGGACCACTTAACTCCTAAGTAGTATGGCCGTCGGATGGGTCGCAGGCTAAAGACCTCGGCGCTTCAGTTCAAGTTGTCTCCGTTTTTCGCATCGAACCGGGTTCTCAACCTTCCGTCTACGCTTTTGTTTTATTATTCATTTTCTTTTTTGGTTTTGTTTCTCGGAAAAGTTGAGAAGACTACCTTCAGTTTTGGCGTTTGTTGCGGGTGAAGCAGAAAATCATCCATGGCGTCATTGTGGAAATATTCTCCAAGGCGTTTAGTAAATACTAGGAGTCTAGAGCAACTGGGTACCTTCTCCCGAGGAAAGGCGTCTAGGCTACTTTGTATTAACCCGGGCATACCAAACACTGCCTCACCCTCCCAAGAGAGATAGATCGATAGCAATAAGTAGTACTTTAAGTAGCTAACTTACGACTGCCCTACTTCATGCTGGCATACCGTTGTAACTCAAACCTCCTCTATATCACATCTGCAAAACATTAAGGGAGGGCAGAAAAGAAAATAAGAAAAGAAATCCCAAACAAAAAAATGAAGAGAGCATGTTATTCCCCCATTCAGCGATACACCTGCACTATTCAGGAAATAGGTCTTAGCTTCCGAGGCGGTTGACCAGGTTGACTCAGGCAAGGTAACGTAAGCGGCAAGCGAGTCGGCCACGTAAGCGAGTCGGCCACCTCCGCTAGTAGTATATCATCATTCTGATTTACATACAAAATGATGCTTTTTGAACACCTAATTCAACGCTTAAAAGCGCTCTATCTCAAGATACTGCTCGATTAGGACATCTAGTACGTATATGCCCTACAATATGGCACGCGCTACACCTAGGAGGCGCCCGACGGCGTGGTTGATCCTCCCTAGGGCCTGCATCCCCAGCCTGTTCTTCCAATATTCTAGCATGGTTGAAAGCCTCAAGCGCTTCTTGTACAGTGAGGCCATTCAAACCATCCATTTGATGTTGATTGCGTTTCTGCTTGGTGTTTCGTTTGTCAAGAGCTTCACGTAGTTGGCGATTTTCATGCTCAAGTAGTACTGTATGATTCAAAGCAACCTCCGCGCCTTTGAAGATGTACGATAAGGCTGACTGTATTGGTGTAGCTGGAGTATCTTGTTGTTGAAGTAATTGAGATAGTGTAGACTCGTACTTCTTGAATTGCCTCGAATTCCTTGGTGTTTTTGTAAAGATCGAAGAAGAGGAGGTGCTTTGACTGCTCGGACGGCTGGTCTCCTTGAAAATCATATTCTCTAGTATCTTGCTGGGATCTAGAGGAACAAGACCTGAAGCTCTAAAAGCGCTTTGTATATTTGCTTTAGTAAACGCTTGAGCATGGGCTTTCGGATACATGTCAAGAAAATCAACCTTCTCGATATGATGATATCCCGTACGGATAAGCTGTTGAACTTGATCTTTGTAGGCCTTCTTCAAAGGCGAAAAGCATGCAACATCTAGAGGCTGACATAGATGTGAGGAATTAGCAGGCATACAGACAGGTATAATCTGATTTTGATAACATATGTCATCAAATTGAGGTGTTAGATGCGAATCATGCCCGTCAAGTACGAGGAGGCTATATTGACCTGTTCTTCGTGTTTTGATGTATGGAATGAAGTGATCTTTGAGCCATGCTTCCCCAATCTCTCGTGTAGTCCATCCATTTGAGGATATAGCAATCCTCCAGGAAGATGGTAGACTTCCTTCGTACCAAGCTTGAATATGTGTTTTTGCTTTTAACACTAAATATGCTGGTAGCACCCATCCAGCAGCGTTGATACACTCAATTGAAGTTATCCATTCGCGATTCCCTGGCTGTATAAGAAAGGGTCTTCCTTGACATGTTGAGCGTATTACTACTTTAGTAGTACCCAGGATACCCATAGCAAAGCCAGTTTCATCGAAGTTATAGATATCTTCGTCGACAATGCCGTATGTTGATATAGCAGTTTGTACGCGTTTAAACCACATCTGAATAGCTTCAGGTTCTTCACACTTCGCTCGTTTGTAGTTGATTTGACGGCTATATCGACTTTTTCAAGGAATCATGCCTTGAGATGTAGTTGGTAACCCATTTTTGTCCGACAGAGATAGTTGTATTTTGACCACGCTTTTGAAGTAGTAGATTCGCCATTTCACGGACTTGAGAGTGCTTTGGTGGTGCACCACGTTGATCTAGCGATATAATCCATTTTTCAAGTGATTCTTCCTCTATAGAGGTCAATTTATGTGAGTTGGCTCTAGTATCCTTGCGAAATTTGAGCCCATTTAGGCGATCTTGAAGTGTTGATCGGGGAACTTGAAAAACGCGTGCAGCTTCACGAATAGATTTTGTATGACCTTTCTGAATAGATTCAACTGCTAAACAGAGCCTGCCCTCTTGTTCCACCAACTCTTTTGATGATTTAGGCATTTTTGGTGGTGTAATGGCTGTTTGGATAGCATCGCTTTCGGAGGCGTGGACGAGTTTCGATGGGGTGGCCGACTCGCTTACGTGGCCGACTCGCTTGCCGCTTACGTTACCTCGTAACGCCTAAATTAGTGCCTGCCCACCTGATGATGATTTTGATTCCACATTATGATGATGGTTTATTACAATTACGACAAACTGCGAACTGTCGGGACTCCATACATCCATACATCCATACAGACCGGAACAGACAGAACGTGACAAAAGTACACGGACCACTTCATATAATCCATGATTGGCTCGCGGGAACCAGGATAGCGACATCCGCGGGCTTTTCAGCAGCAGGTCGCCGCAAAGGGTAGGCGGATGCTATTGGCCCTGCCAGTCAGCAGCGGTACTTTTATTTAGCGGCCGTACTAGGTTTACCCCAGCGGCGAACCACCCGGTTGCCCTGTGGGATCCTCGCCTAGCAGTGGAGAGGAAGTACTTACTTGCTGCGCAGACGCCTGCGGCCTGCGGTATTGACAATGTTTACTCTCTCATGGCCCGAATTAGCACTTGTTCTGATGTATTTTATTTTCCCCTTTCCTTTTTCTTTTCCCTATTACTTTCTAATTTTTTTTTGACTCTTCTGGGTTTCCGGTTTTACTTATGATACTCTTTACTCTCCTTCCCCCCCCACCTTCCTCCCTTCTCACCCATTACGCTCATGATTTATGACCAACAGAGTTAAAATTGAAAAAATGCGTCTCTTTCCCCAATTGGACAGGGATTTGATGACTTACTTTACTTCCCGAATGTTTCATTCCAATGCTGCTGTCTTCTCCTGTTTGTTGGCATCGTTTGGTTGGGAGGAAGGGATCCAGATGGCCGGTCAGCCAACGTACATTACTTACTAACATGCATACCCCGTAGTACTAACTCTCTGCTGGCTCCTCCTCGTCAATTAGTCTGAATTATTTTCCCCATCGACAAGCAAGAGTAATAGTTATGGTTGCTATTATTATTATTAGTTGCGGTAGTATTATCAATTTATTATTATTATTATTATTACTGTCACCATTACTTCTCCTGATTTCTTTTCAGTGATTTTTCCAGACTAAGATTATCGCTATTGATTTTATCGCCTTGGCTGGCGGTTGTCGAACACCGTGACAACTCGACAGCACTGACTTGACAGACTGACAGACTAACCAACTAACTAACTAACTGACCACTACCTTTTTTTTACTTTACTTACATACTCTTTCAGTCTCGTTGAAATCCCCCGAACTATATCACCATCAATTCCCGCCCTCCACAGAACACGATCTACTCCCACCAGCTAACTGCTAGTAAGACCGCGACCCTGTTTCGCGCCTGCTGCTGCTTCTGCTGCGGCCTTTGGCTTCATCAGCCTCCACTGCTGCTAGCTAGTCTAGTTAATCCCTCTTCTGCTCACCCTGACACAATTCCCCCTCCGTTGACGACGTCTCTTTTCCGTACGGCTTTCTGTCTGCATAACCACTTTTCCCTCCTACTTCGCCTTTTATCTTCGACCTCATTCTTCCCCCCCAAGTTATCTATCTAGCCTCTCCACTTTCTACTCCCGTCTCTCCCCTCACCTGTTTCCTTACTCTCTTTTCAACTACTCTACCCGGTCTCTGCTGTGATACGAGCTTCCGCCTAGCTGATCCGCACGTCCCGCTCCGTTTCAGAGTATGGTTGACGAGCAATATTCAGTGACTATTTCATGATGGATGGTTCCATTCCGCCGCCGTCCACCACGACTACGACCACCTCCACCCCCTCTACCACCACTATTCCAACTTCCTCTTCATCAACCGTTTTCCGACCTCGCAAATCAGAGGATTGGAATGAGTATCGTACGGCCATCGAGAATCTCTACCGAGACAATCAGCTCAAGCTCCGCGATGTGAAGAGAATCATGGAGCGTGACTATAACTTTGTTGCATCGTACAGCCTTCCATTTCTCTTTTTTACCATTCCTGCCCTGTTTCCTGCCTTTCCCTCTCTCCCTCGTATTTGTCATTCTGCCATTTACGGGCTTGCATTGCTTGTCCCTCTGCAGAAATGCTCTGTTCCTTCCTTTTACCTCCAAAAGCGGAAGAAGAGGACAGTGCGTCATTGTTATTGATGTTGCTTTTTTCTTCTATTTCCCTTCCCTTCCCCACTCCTGGACAAATCAGCTTGGTTATAGGCTTCCCCTGACATTCAAACTTTCCAGAGAAAAACAATACAAAGACCGCCTGGCTGCATGGCATGTCCGCAAGAATATCAAGGCCAAAGAAGTCCATGTCATGATCCGAAAGCAGCAGAAACGAGCGGCCCGAGGCAAGCAAACAGGTTTCCGTGTTGCTGGACAGGAAGTCGACTCCAAACGCATCTCCCGCTTTGTCCGTAGATATGGATCGAACATGGAGGCCAATAATGCCCGCGAGGATCCTCCGCACAGTCCTCAGGGCCATCAGATCATCCAGCCCGTCCAACCCGTCCAGCCGATCCAGGCAACAAGTCCCGAACCAGGTAGGATACTCCCCATTCCGTCCCTAGTGCTGGGATTACTCATGTTAGCCGACAGAAACTCCCTCCGATATGAGCTATTTTACCCCACCGCCAGAGGAACGAGCAATGACATTATCACCTTCTACAGAAACACCGTCACATTTCCGTGAGCCCCCCATCCTTCTATTATTTCCCCCTTGCTATTCTACTATATGTCCTGGCCAGCTATTTTGGTGGGAACCGTCAACAAGTAGTCGGGATGGTGGAAGATTTAATTGACTAGATAACCCAGATGACGACCCACCCGAACCAGTTCGTAATCCAGGAATTGGCAGTGCACGATCTTTATCGGTCTCTTCCGGAACTATGACCAATGATATAACGAAACCCATGACTGACGGGGTCCAGGGACCAGATGGCTGGATGACCCTTGAGATGTTTCAGGAAAAGCTTTTGAAGCTTTCGAGGACACTCGATCAATCAATGTCCCGATTTGTGCCTGCCGAGGATCGCAGCCACCAGCCATCCAATACTGACCAGCATTCTCGCTCAATCGGGCAGTGAGAAGGAGGAAGAAAGATATCAACGTCCTTGGACGAAAAAAAGGAAAGATCCTGGGAATCTGTCAACATCCGTATACTCTGCTACATCCTGTTCTTTGGCAGGTTGAGTTGATTGCCTCCTTCTCCACTTGGTGTCCCTCTGTAATATTCCACTTTATTTCCCTTTGTTTTTATTTCTTTTCTTCCCATTCATCTGTTTCACAGAGTGCCGACTATATAGAGCATCCATGGCTTGAATATATTGGGAAATCGGTATAATGTAGGTTGCGAAAAAGAAAACCCCCTTAAGATGAAAGAAGATTGTGGTATTCTTACGGTGACATCTGCTGTTGTTGGCTGTTGATGGTACATACATTGTCTGACTTGTGACTCTAGTGACCTCGCTACTACTTACTTCACGGAGCGTGGCAAGGAATCCTGCTCGACGAACCCTTGGGCCAATACTACGATGATTCGTTGATTGCGATCCCAGAAGGAACCCCATGTGGAAGTGATTCTGCAGTTCACACGGACAAACTGTGAGTTCAGCTGTCATCACGGTCGGCCTTCAATCCAAGTCACCCTCAAATGCAAGGCATGACTGGCAGTGATCTCCATCGGCTCAGCGGCTATAATCCTCTGATCAATAACCTAGCACTTGGTACCCGGCTCAACAATAAGGATACTGATTACGAGCCAAGTGGATGAGCATGGAGGAGAAGGATGACATGGCAAGCCTTGCGATGGAGTAAGACCCATAATCGCCCGCACGGTGCTTGGGCTCAACACAAAGCCTCACAAAATTTGGCGTCGATTTCGATATTCATATTATGTCACAAGGCAAACCATGCACTGGTCAATCGCCGAGGTCAGAATACCGCTCTTGCTGTCTTTCATTTAAGACGCAGTAGATCGGCTGTCTCCCTATTTTGTTTTTATGGAATGGCTCTACTGGTTTAAACATTCCAGCAGAGCAATTCAGATACCGAGACAGCATGCAGAATTGCCGGGACTGTCGATCGTCCTTGTTAAATTTTTAATAAGTATCATTCGATATGGTAGCACCATGGCTGTCGATCGAGCGGTGACAAAAGATATAACCCGATCGTGCATCACTCTATCTACCATGGTTAAGTACAGGCATCAGCGATCCGTGACGAGTCCGAATAAGGAGACATAAACAGTCGAAGCACAGTGATTGGCACCTGCATTTAGCTGTAGTGCAGCCGTGGTCGGACCTGTGGACCAGGCCAATTTATGGGCCAAGTCGTCCACACCCTGCTCTACCACTAACATAGATCAGTCTTTCCATTTCAAGGCCCTTTGAAGTGCCCAGGGCTCACGGAGAGCAAGACCGGGTTCACAAAAGAGCATATCCCGAAAAGGGAGAAGACTGGTAGTAAGGAAAAAGAAAAGGCCCATGGAAGACAAAAGCAAGCGATTCTACAGGCTAAGGAAACGATATCCGCCACGGACACGGCCTGCCAAGAAAGGCCAATGGGAAGGCGAAAAAAGGGGCTGATGTGAGATGATTGTCTTTGATGCGGCAGCCGAGCCCGATCTCTACTTTGTAACAGTGAGCGCGTGCGCCTGGCCTGATTGCTGGGGCGGCCGAAAGTCGATGAATAGCAGCAGATCGGAGGGGCGAAGTGCATCGGTGGTTTTGGATTCCTGATGAGGCCCTCGCTGATCCTCGAGCCCGCGGGCACTAGCTCTCTTAGTCCCTGTCAGTCTATCAAGAGTCACTGCATAGACTGACTGCTCGCTCACCCTCGCTCGCCCATTCCCTCACAGGCCCTGATATTATTAATATCATTGGGGAGATTTCTAATTTACCCTTCACGTCAATTGCTCATCCGGCTTTTCCTGCATGCCTGTGGTATAACATGAGGGCGTCAGACTGGTTTCCCGCGCTCTAGAAGCATGAGCTCCCTACATCTTAACGTTTCATGTATCTTCATTATCTACAGATCGTCTACTACCTGTATTTATGAACTGAACTACAAAACGATTTACCTTCTCTCTATGATGTAGCCCTAGCCAAAAGTACGCATTGGGCCATTGGGCAGCAATTGAACAGAAGTCCCGACCCTTCGTTTTTACTCATCGATTATTCGTATATTATTATTAGCAAGCCAATTTAATCAATCTCCCCCCCTCCTCTCCTCTCCTCCCGGCCATTTGGCCTAAATTCCGTGGATGCCTCAGATCTGCACGATGATGTCAGGTCAGCTAAAGCCTCCGTACTTCCCGTCTGCCCAGTAAGTAAACTAATTAGTTCCTTTTTCCACCACCATCATCACTACCACCACCGCATTAACGTCATAGAAGACACCAATAATCAGTACTACTAGGTAGTTCCATACAAAAGAAACATAACAGTATCAATGTAGCATACTAACCAATACATAGATAGTTATCTTTTTCTCTAGCGCTGTATGCAAAATTACTAGCAGGGTGAGTGGGCGCAACAATTGATACAGTATGTATGTATGTTTGTATGTATCTAGTTAGTTTGACTTCGTGGTTGATTTCATACTCAGTCTGTCTATCTACTTACTTCGCTGCTGGACAGTAATAGACCTGCTTGTTTAGAATGGAGTGAGTGTTTGTGTTATATAGATTGGATGGATGGATGGGTGGATGTTATGAAGCAATAATGGATAAGAGAGGTGGGTGGATGGGTATAGTGGGTAGATAGATCGATAGATAGATACTGCTGGTTCGTAGTGGCTGGGTAGGTAATAGATAGGTGAGTAGTAGGTTAGAGGTTACGGTAACTTCTACTCAGAGAGTAGATAATTTACTAATTACTGATGGAATCAGTTGTAGTGTGTATTTAATTGCTAACTATTTACTAATAATACAATTGTTTCATGAATATCAAATTAGGTAGGTGAGTGAGTTGGGTTTACCGGTGACTGACTGTGTGTGTATCACGAACTAGATAATTACTAGTTATGTATGTATGCTGGAGTGAATAGGTCGTAAGCAGGTAGGCCACATGTCAAATTTACTTCTTACAAAGAGCCGAGGGGGAAAAAAAAGAGTAAAGGAGATAGATAGTAGATGATGAATAATATACTATATTTCGTTCCCGCTGCATGAGATAACCATAGAGGTAGGAGAAAGGGGAGGAATGAGTTTGGAAGAGAAAAAGAAAGAAAAAGTCAAAAAGAAATCTTTCTTTTTTTTCGCTGAAACAAACATGCACCGGAAAATGATGACTCAACCCCTCGAAGAGAATAAGAAAAGTCGAAAAAGGAAACATGCCCATATACCAGGTACCCAACGCTAGACAATCCAAATCCGGTAATCCGGCGACAATAACAATAACGGGGAAGAGAAAAGGGGACAGAAGAAGTAAAAAAAAGTAAAGGTAGTAAAGTCATCATCAGGCGGTCAACCTAGGTCCTGCCACGTGCTTTGCGTGGTTCGTAACATACAGACATGCATGCATGCATGCAGTCAAGCTGGAGTGTGCGGGTGAGTGTGCGCGTCGAAAGTGTAACTATGATACTATAAATATGTGTATGAGGAGTGCGCTGATGAGGGAGATGAATGGACGGATGGATGATGATCATGAGTAGAACGCGCTCTTCTGGAAGCTTTCAAGCGAAATATCACCCATCTTGCCCTTCAGCTGGGGCTTCTTGGCTTCCGTGGCGATCTCCTCGGATGCGCTCGCCTGCATCGAGTTGCTGCGACTGCCGGCTTCGCTGCCCGAGGTGATCGCTTGCTGTTGTGGGCGGCGCTGGATAGTCTCCAGGTACGGTCCCGGCAAGTATCCAACGCGGCCATCACGAGCACGGCAACGCCACCACTCCGAGGCATTACCCATCGGATCGGATTTGCTGAGGACAGCGACGATGTCGCCCTTCTTCACGGCCAGATCGATGCCGGAGCTCTCCTGGGCTTCAGGGGTGTAGTCGTAGAGCACGCGGCAAAAGTCAAGCTTGGAAGGGTCAAGCGGTGCGCCTTGGCCCTGCACGGGCTCGCCATTTGGACCCAGCATCAGCTGGCGACGTTCCTCTTGCGACCGAGCCAGAGCCTTGATCAGCTTGCCCATCAGGTAGGGAAGACCGAATACGGCGATCAGGAACATGAAGAACGGCTTCTTGGAGGGCTTGGGGGGAGCGGGAGTGCCATCCGGCAGGGTGGCGGGGGAGGAGCGGCCGCTGAGGAATGCTGCAAAGGCGGACGGAGTGAGGGCGGTAGCATCAGCCGGCGGGGGACGACCGGTGATCTTCGCGATCAGAGTCTTGAACCAGCGGATGATGGTGAAGATACCGAGGGCGGAGCCAAGCGTGTTTCGGAGGTTGCCGAACTGCTCTGCCACAGAAACCATGGCTAGGGACAACTATTAGTGAACAGGCAACAACGCGCCGAGGAAAAGATGTTAACGTACCAAAGAAGGAGCTGTGCGTCGCCATGTATGTGCTCTCCAGCATCTGAGCGAATCCTCCAAACGCACCCACGATACTCTCAATCATCTGGAACGTAGCTTGGGTGCTCTGGCTGAAGGAATTCGTCAGGCTGTTGGGATCGTTGGGATCACCGGGCATGCCGCCGTACATCCCCCCCATGCCTCCCATGCCACCATACATGCCGCCATATCCTCCCATGCCGCCATAGCCTCCGTACATGGAGCCCATCGTGCCGAAGCGGGAGTACGGCGACGAGTAGCTTCCGTAGCCGCCGTAAGGGCTTGCGCCGAACCGGGAGGCCGAGTAGGGAGAGTAATTGGAGGCGGTGCGATTGACAACAGAATTCAGTGAATTAGGACGGGACGGGAGATCAGGAGCAGTAGATGTTGAAGATGCTGTAGCTGTGGGGGCCGAGGCACTGGCGGCCGCGGTCGGAGTAGTCGAACTGGCCGTCATCGCGGATGAGGCGGTCGGAGTAGCCGCCGATGATGTTGCCAAAGCAGGAGACCCTTTAAGTGAGTGATGTGTCAGTCACACCGTAATATGAAGATATATATTGTTTTACTAATTCATCATTTTCCAAGAGAGCTGTGGACATACCAGCAGCAGCGCCTGCCCTCTCCCACGGTTTGGGTGGCGAAACGGACGCCATGGATATGCGGGAGGGGTTTGGTACCTCAGCAATCTCGCATGGAGATGGACCTCACAGAGGAGGCCAGTCAGAGCGAGAGCGAGAGAAGGCGGAAATAGCGCGACAGAAGGATTAGGGGGGGTAGTCTGGGGAAGAAGAGAGGGGAAAGGGGAGCGAGGAGGTAAGAGACAACAGCACGAGCGATAGATTGGATGGATTGGATGTGATGGAATGGATGAATGAATGAGAGGCGATGGATGGCGATGGAGACGGAGGCGGTGGAGAAAAAGCCAGAAAAGAGGAGAAAAGGTCGCATGTGGCCCCGATGGACCGAGGCTTCCCGCTTGCCGAGTTAAGTCCCCGGTGTTGATTATTCCACTTATTCCACTTAGTTATCTTTCCATCTACTCCGTAGATTAATCAAAGATAGCTAGTTATCTATCGAGTGGGATATCATATTTGCCGTCCAAATTATCTGAATATAATATATCACCATCAAATGCTCAGGCCCATTGCTTGAAATATGTACAGCGGCCTAAAATGCTCCCAGAACTCCCGAGATGCGATTTCCCAACAGGCATCGTCAACAACGCCGGCCCAAACAGATCGGAAAAAGATTAGTCCTCAACGACGCTAGTTATACAATACAATCCCAGTCACCGCCATCTTCCACCACGTCGCCTTGCCCACTTCTACCGTCTAGAGCTCCTCATGGGTCGGGGGTGTTGGAGGGGTGGGTCGCTTGGGAAGCTGGATCCTCCAGGACCGTGGCGGCACAGGCAGACCCAGCCAGTAGTTCCATACCCGAGCAACCTCCAGGACGGCGATCTCGAAGCTGCAATGCCCAGTTAGTATATAGGAAACTGTGGAGGTCATCGTATGCCATCACTTACAATGTCTTTGGTGCATTGACCCAGCTCTTCAGCACATAGACGTAAATGTCCCAGATCATAGAAAACTCGGCCTTAATATCATCCCAGACCGTATCCGTGTCGCGGCGTACCCGGACCTTCTCCCACGGAAGTTTCTCGGTGATGTAGACAAAGTTGTCATCATCGCCATCCTCATAATAGAAGGTTGAGCCACCGTCTTTGAGAAGTCGTCGGGTCTTCTTCTTGCCACCGCGCTCCTTGGACGCAATGCTCGCGGGGATGGTGAAGACCTCCCCATCGCCCACATCCATGGCCCGGTGGAAACTCCGGACGGCGGCAATGCTGTGAGAAATGCGACCAAGGGTATTGATCAGTGCCACCAGCTCAGTCCGGCGCAGCAACGGGTTCTCGCCGTTCTTAGTCTCGTCGTACTCGAACAGCACTTTCAGAGCGGTGCCATATCCGTTGACCTGGAGCTTGCCCCAGAGGCGGCATTTGTCGCACCCGACGCAGTCCATCAGGCGACTGACGTTGCGGAATCGGTTGCGGAAGTCTTCCTTCAGGCCAGCGGAGCTGGGATCCTGGAACATGACGTTCTCGTCGAAAATTTGAGGGCGGTCAGCCAAGGTCGAGGTCAACTTGGAGACCTTCTCCCTAGTCATGGCATCCTGGACCGGATCACCGACGCAGTAGTTGTAGTTGTGTAGGTGTTTCTGCAGCTTCGCCACGGCGCGCGAGACCAGCGCGTAGTTGAAGTACAGGTTCGAGATGCGCTCGGGGTGATCGTGGAGACGATCTTTGAAGCATTGAAGGTTAGGATGCCATTGTCCCGTCGTCTGGTTTAGGTAGTCCCAGCAAAGGTGGGTCGAGATAGACGCATGCATTCCGCTGATGAGACGATGGAACACTCGCTTCTCAAGGCATTCATTGTCCAATGGAAGCAGGTCAGGGCGCTTCAACTCCTGCTGAAGCACATGACGGAAATCGTTGACAGCTTGAAGACCACCCAGCTGAGGAGTAACGGGTGATAGCTCGGGCACCGGTTTGAGGAAGCAATTCTCCCGATAGATTGCATCCCAAACCTGATGGGCGCCCATACCGGCATACCCTGTGAACCGTTCTGGATTATCAACGAGACTGACATAGTCTCCCTTGCCGCTAGCACCCTCATCTTCGGGAACACAGTAGTCCCGTTCATCACATTCATCGTCATACTCCACCACACAGCTCTCTCCAACATTTTCGCCTAGCATTCCTTGGAGCGGTCGATTAAGAGGTCGCTCCTTTCGTTGATTGCGGCCCGGATGGCCTGCTTTGGGTCCCTCGAGTTTACTGAGCTCCTCCGCGCGCCATGTTAACGGAATGTCGTCTTCAGATTCGATTGTGTTGACGGAGCATGCAATGTTCCCGCACATACTATTCGCATCGGACCAGAATGGACAGACTTTGTTGAAGAGATTAAGACGGTAGTACGAGAAGAAATCGGTATCTTGCGTAATGGATTGGAGGAGGGTGTAGACTTGATCGTTCAGATGATCGATAGTGGCGTAGGAGACACAAGCGTCGGACACCATGGCAGTGGGGTCAATCTGGTAGAGATGAGAATGAATCAGCCAAGTCCGGTCTACAACATGCAGTCCAAGCGTATGCCCGAGCGTTGTATCGACTTACCGCACACTTGTCCTGGTTATGGTGCAGCCCAGTCTCGGCATTGGAAAGCCTCGACAGGGCAAATACCGCCAAATAGAAAAATTTGGCTGCGGAGCGCATCTTGGAATAGCCGGAGACCGGCGGAAACGAGTGGACAAGGACGGAGGAAGGAATTGGAGTGTATGACAGAAACCAAGAGAGTATAGAGTGAAGCTATGCAATGAAGGTCTATGGTAGGTAAGCAAGAAAACAGGGTCCTTCACATGAAGATCAGCGACGGAAGGGAAGCCTGGATTGTCAACGGTCGATCGTGGTCAGGCCAAATGACATTTCCCTGCACAAGAGATGATGCAGTTCCAACCGCAGCAAAAGGAAGCAGAAACGAATGATGGGAATAAAGAAGCAGGTGGAACGAGGGGACTGATTATTCAAGGAATGTCCGTTACGAAGTGGACAAGTTGTCCTTGGTGGCGCGGAGTTGCATGATCCGCAAGTAGTCATCAATAGTCATCAAATCAATTCCATCTCCGCCGGCTTATCGCCGCCAAAAAAAAACCCTTGTTTCAGCGACTTCCCCACTGCGACGATCCACGGTAGTCTAGATGTATCTGTCTATAGAAACTGTATACATATAGACTTTCTGTCTTTGTTCTCTTTGATGTTCATTTGGGGGTTCGGCTCGGTAGATCTAAAGTTTTATTGGGGTTTGTTGGTTTAATTCGGCGATCGCAACTCGCAGTATCAATAGTATGTTCGGATCAGCTGACGGGGTTGGATAGCAGGATCAAGATCATGCTGTCGCATGGCCGTGTTGGTAAGATTAAGGGGCGTAAGGAGCGACCTGGCTGCCACAGAGCGCCGCAACGGCCACGGTACATGATGCTGCCACGCTGCTCAAGCTGTTGACTTCCAGAATGGAATCATGTATCGGGGTAGTTGCTTTTCTTGTTTAGCTGAGTACATATACAGGCTGATGAGGTAGTTGGTTAACTACTAAGTTGAGTGACTATACCATGCGCTTTGACGTGAAGTCATACAGGCTCCGCAGGCTCTAGGACATGTCAGACGCATGTCTCGCAGGTTACCTGTAATACTAGATAAGGGGCATGAGCATATATTTAGTAGTCTGCGATACAACACATTGAATAAACTGTTACGCTAACGCGGCTCCGTATAGTGGATGACTACGCCATATGCACTCTACACTGTTTATCGGCCAGAGGCATATTGTAACTCGTCAAATTTGACTGTCAGACAGCAGAAGTAAGAACAACCATGGATATTCCCGATCCAGGCCCATCAAAGGGGGCTGCAGCAACCATGAACGCCATCCACCGTGATACTCCAGGCTTCAACTCCGAGCGTGACACATCATGTCATACCGTAATCACCGAGGTCATGACCGGTGTCGCAGGGGAATCATGGTAGAATACATAGAGAAAGAACGCTCCAAAGATCACTAAAAACAAACATCGAGTCTCGCAGTTCTACCAAGGAGACTGCGGTCTTATAGATGAACCAACCGCCAATGCATGTTGTCGTACGGCCGTATACAAAAGGTTCAAATGAACATGTTTAAGAAGTTCCGCTGCGCTTGCGACGACGGATACTGAGCGCCTTCCGGAGCGAGGCGAATGGCTTGGGGTGGGGTGTATTGTAAAAGGGGTCCTTTTTGAAATCCTCATCGGTGAATTTCTAGAAGGAGATTAGAGCATGTTGTGACAAGTGCACAGCGAATTAGCAACTTACTTGACCGGGACAACGCATAAAGTTTCCATAGTCGTTCATCATGTTCGGCCCCTCCTCGTATTCGTAGGTGCGCCCCTCCATGTCTGTGTGACCTGGAGGGTAATAAGCCACACCGTCCAGAGGACGGTGACTATCGATGCAGTCCCTAATTTTATCTTTCGGAGTCGCCTTCAAGGTCTCGGCAGTAGAATTTTTGACTGCCTCAACGGGGCTCTGCTTGGTGTGGTAGTTTCTCTCCGCATAGACAGCATCGTAGGGCCCCTCGTGATGATATTGGCAGAGACTCGCGCTGTCCAGACGATCAATAACGTCCGGATTGACCAGCATCGAGTTTCTCGAGTATCTGGCCGGCTGGGGGTTCGACGGGCTGCCATGGCGATGGCGCCGAGAACTATACTGAGAGGTGGAGCTCTCCTTCCTCCGTCGGGGCTCGACGGGATGATGCTCCGGCGAACCCGAATAGTAGACGGAGGGGAAAGACGTAGAGCGCTGACGGTTCAAGGACCGTCGACTCGGAGAAGAAGAGAGGAAGCGTTGGTAGGATCCATAGCTGTCCATTTCAACATCCATGTCCATTAGGTTGGGATGATACCGATGGGAGTAAGAGGACCGGTATGGGGTCGCACAAGCTGGGAGAACGGCGGACGCCATAGTTACTGGACGCCTAAGGAAGAAGGATAAAAAAGAGAGGGAGAGAGAACTGGAGGGAGAGGATGCCTCTCAAGGTTGGAGGAGGAGAGTTAGGTATATATAAGGACAACAGGATGTCCTATAAATGTATGTAGGCGTTTAATAGTAGGGCCTACTAGTGACTGCCTGCGTCTGCAGCCCGTAACTCAAACGAGTGGTGGGGCTTAGCAGCGGTGAAGTCGGGTATTGATTATAGAGTTGGGAGTAACGTTGTAAGGTGCGGTCTGTGTGGTTATGAGTGTGGCAGAGTAGATTTGAAGTAGACAGTAAGTAGTAAGTCTGTATTGCAAGGTAGTGGTTGTTAGATGGGAGTAGTAGGAAGAAGTTGAAGAAGAAAAGAGAGAGCGAGAGAGAAAGAGGACAAGACGGAGAGTAAAAGGAACGAGAAGACCCAGAGGGAAGAGTCATAATTCATCATGATTTAGGCTCTGGTCATCGCTGGTCATGCAAATGCAATTCCGAACCGGTGGACCGTGACGTGACGAGTAGCGCCGCATTGCTTTTCGATTTGCTCACATTTGCTTCCACGCGATCCGGGGATGGGTTTGTATTACGCCTTATCGATAAGGCTCTACTTAGTAGACTAGAACGTATGTCCAGTCAAGACTAGACCGGTTCGGTTGCATCGGATGTCCTCTTCGATGATGAAAATACCTGGGCACATCTCCTGTTGTTAGTCCACTGGGTGACTCTTTCTGTAGGTGCGCGGAAGGCTCGGGCCCCAGGCACTCCCCTCCGCCCCTCCCGGTTCTAGACTTAAGGAACCAGTCAGGATGGCCCAGGCTGACATTACAAAGGTGGTAAATCCCCATGGAACCTCTAGAAGGTCCCTGAGGGATTCTAGTGGAGTCGCAGTGGCAATTATCGCCGTCATGATTGTCGTGTCGTCGTCAGCTGTGGATGCCCAGGGCCACCATCCACCGGCTGACTAAATCACTCGCACCACTTCGAGTGCGAACTGAGTCTTGACATCATAACCACCAGACTTCCACACCAACTGACTGCGACATCCTGCAAATCCCTCTGACATTCAAAATTTACATCATCTGCAGAACAGGTTGGGTATCACAAATGGGAGGTTTACTGACTAGATGATTGAGTTACTACTAGTTAACTAGATAATTACGGAATACCCACCGTACTGAGCAGCTCCGTCTTTAAGCTTATCTTTAGTGACTACGATAGCGCCAACGGCGGGCTGGATCTAGCCCTGCTAGTCTTGAAACAAGTTTTGGTCTGCAACTAAAAAGCACGCGCCAGTATTAACGTCTGCATGCCTCTGACAGGCGCTTCTACGAGTTGCTTGTTACACACTCATCCACGCACAAAAGTAATATGATGGTCCGCATCGCATGTCAGTCAGTCTGCGACGGTCTGCATGGGCGACCCAATGCACGGAGGATATGTTACACAGGGTCTAGATTTGTCCTACGAACCCTCAGGGACTAGAAGTATTGCAGGCTTATAATTAGAAACGAGCCAGGTGAAATGAACGCATATTTCCAGGTACCTTCGGTCTACTTTCTCTCCCTGTCAGGGGGCTGAGGTCCAACCATGGGTTAGGGGCCGCAACCCTGGCGAGGTGACATGAATAATGCAAACAAGCTTCGACGTAATTTTCACATAATTCGCATCTCTGCTACTTTCACTACAGAGTCTTCTGAGCAATGCCAATAAATAGACAGTCGATGGAGAACGTCGCTATTGTTCATGCTCGTTTTGTGATCCCTTGTGCTTCGATCCTTGTTGACCTCTGCTGACGACATAGTAAGACGCTCAACGTACAGAGTAAGATATTCATAGCCACCATAACAGTAACCAGTGAAAGTGTTGTCTCACAACGGATCAAAACTCTCACAGCCACACGATGTGTTCTGTTAATCTGCGAAAAATTAAATAAAAAAAAAATCCACCGATCTAGAACCCCTTCCAGCTCCAACTGGTGAGTCTTGGCAGCCCTACCCGTAAAAAGCAGTGTTTCAATACGGACAACCCGGATCCACCATCCCGACCCGATGGAACAACAATTTACTACTCCAACTGCGGCCACCAATTTCATCCTGCATGTCCACTTCCAACCAATGTCCTTGACCCTGTAATGGCTCTGGTGCAATATTCTGAATCAGAATCCGAAGTAGAGAACGAGCTTCCTCAGCGCCCAACAAAAAGGCCCCGTCAGGCCGCCAACAATCCATCTTCCTCACTCCCACCTTTACCTGCCGCTTTTCACGATCTCTATGCCTCCAGCACTCGCGTCAGCGTGACCGACGACCCCAGTCTCCACGGAGGCCGAAAAAGGGTCATTCCCCATGTTGAAGGGAACTGGCCGACCCACATCTACTTGGAGTGTATGTGTCATCCATCACCACCACCAGCACCCTCTGGCAGTAGTTGGGCTCTCGAGAACGGAAATAACAGCCGTATAACCAATCCACAGGGTATCCATCCAAAGATGAACTTTCTATTCTTAGCGATGTCATAGATCAGATCAACGATAGGCTCGATGGGAGCACGATTCAGCTCCACAGCCTACTACATAGTGATCTTGGCGCGCAACTGCCCCTCCACATTAGTCTGTCTAGACCGGTCGTGCTACGAACAGAACAGCGGCAGTCATTTTTGGAGCTATTTCAGTCTCAGCTGAAAGAATCGCAAATTCCAGCGTAAGTAGCTGACTTGTTTATTTGTTTCGGTCTTAATGTTTTTGTGATTGATCAATCCACCATGCTGACAAGCTATGCAAGGTTCAACGTCACGACAAATAGCCTCGACTGTGTCTCGAATTACGAGAAGACGCGGTGGTTTTATGTCTTACGTGCTGAAAAGCCAGAGGAAAATGCTTTGAACCGTCTTCTTCGGCTGTCTAATCGAGCCCTGGCTCGGTTCGAACAGCCTCCGCTATACGAGTCGTCACAGGATGTGGCGGCTGTGCGGAAGTCAAATGGTGGTGGTACGACACTGCCACGGGAATCGAGCGATTCTGGCCAAACCGGAGCTGACTACTCTCGCTGCTTTCATATCTCGTTGGCGTGGAGCTTGACAGGTCTGTCGTCTGCAGAGAGTGAGCTGATCGGAGGTGTGGATTTGCAGAAGGTACGTGAGTTGAGTGTGCGGTTTGATTGTGTCAAGGTGAAAGTTGGAAACCATGTTTCTAGTATACCGCTGCAGTAGAAAGATAAATCTTGATATAGAGTTGTACATAGATAGAAGTATTTGCTAGAATACTATAGTTGGTGGGTGAATGTTGGTGACGCTGACTCTTCCAGCAATACTCGTCTTCTTATATATAGAGTGACCGGATATATTATTGGTCATCATAAATCCTTGGCGGTTTAAAAAACATGCTCTCATCGAAATAATGGACCTGAGCACGAAGTATTGTCACAGGTCTGGACTCCGCACAGTGTAAATTGGATACACATCAGTTATCCCAATAGATTCTATGATAGATCCAGCATTAACAAGATACAGGCACTAGAAGCGCATAATCCATGTAACAAACTAGTTCATCATAAGTGCGCCTCATGAGCAAAACTTGACACATGCCCACTGGTAGTAAATCGTCATTCCAACCTGATAGACCCTGTTTGTATGAACGATAAAATAGCAGAAACTTATCGAAGTTGAGTACCTCAGACCACCAAGGATCCAGAGAGGCACTATCCCGTCACTTGAATTTAGAGAATTACTTGACAGTCTGCCCACCTACTAATATATATATATATTAGAGACAGTACTAGATTCCATCACTGTGATTACCCAAACAACTACGTCCAATCTCTCCAAGTGCTAACTTACCCAGGTAATGAACAAACACCTATCCACAGTAATATCCCATTGAAAGACCAAAATATGCCCATCTACTTCACCACTATTGCTCTTATATACTATCAACCTCGGAAACATCCAGTATTAATAATGAGCAAAACCCCCCCTTCCCCCACGCCAGCATATCCCCACTACCAACCCTGTAATATTCGCCCGTCCCATACAATACAATACCCACCGCCCAGGCACGTCACAAACAGCTAGCCTAATTAACACACACGCGTAGCTTAGCCAGCTATCCAGCTAGCTTTCATCTCTTCATCTTTATCTTCGGACCTCCCTCCCCTATTCCTTAACTAACAACAAAAAAATATATCCCACCTCATCCAAGATGTCCCTAATCACACCACCCCCCATCACCATCGTACGTTATCCTCCTCCTTCCCCACATCCATTTCAAGAAAAAAAAAGAAAACAAAAATCTAACCCCCACAGGAAGACCTTCATGCTTTCCAAGCAAAACACTTCCCGGGAAGCCTCATCGCCCAGACACCACAACCGCAAGCAGTGACCAACACCAACCTCCCCGAAGAATACACCTCACATGACTACGAAGAACAATACGACTGGAATGAAGAATATGAAGAAGAAGATGAAGATCTAAGCTACTACCCCGACGGCGTGAAACGCACACTCACGGACGAACAAATCCGCATTTTCAGACATAGTGAGATCCATGCCTTGAGGAGGGAGAAGGAGTTGCGTGAGGAGGAGGAGGCGGATGCTGCTGCTTCCGCTGCTGCTGCTGAAGCTGAAGCGGCTGCAGAGCATGCGGTAGATGCAGGTGCGGATGTAGGCGCAGATGCGAACGCAAAGACAGATGCTGCTGGTACGGAACAAGCGAGCAAGTCTCGGGTAGAAGGGGAAGATACAGATGTGAAGATGGATTATGGGGATGGGGGTGTTTCGAATACAACTTCGACTTCGAACCAGACTTCTAGGCCTGTGCCGCAGTTTACAGGCAGGAGGATCATTTCGTATGATGATTGAGATTGAGATTGAGGGAGAGGACGGGGCGTTAAGGCGGTTTTATGTGACTGCCTCATATCGACCTATCTATCTGCATGTCTGCCTACTTGGCTATCTGTGATGTGCTGCGATTAGCCGCTCTGGTTTCTACGCCCCCGCAGGAATCACCGTCGACATTTGTGTTCGAGGCTCAAAGTGCTTTGCATGCACACCGACCTAACCTTTCTGACATGGTGAGTTACTTACAGCATTTATTTGTTTCTGTTATTCTGCCCCCCACCATGATGAAAACATCGTATCAGTCATCCTTAGTCGGAGCGCCATACCATCTGCGGATGTGTAAGGCTATGTCGACTTAAATCTTCTCTCTGAAGTTACTCGTTATTGCTGCTTGTTGGACTTGCAATTTTCTCTATGTTCTGTCGCTAATCCACTTATTGACTAGTGCTGTCTTGGACCAGGCAAGAGCAGCTGAAGTGCTGCTCTGAACATCCTATGTATTGCCGTTGCAGATACCCAGTAAACGGGTGTGCGACACATCGGTTATGTCGTGATCCGGACATACGTCTAGTAAAAGGCTTGAGCGATAAAAGCCAGCCTCTCGACTTCGCTGAGAGCATGACCTTCATGGAAGCAGCATGTCTTCATATTACCTTATTGGTTCAAGTATCGAGATTGGTTATCTATCAACATGGCAAGATCTACCGATGCTTAGGCTATAGCGCTGCATCTCAAATATAGCCAGTATGGCCTTTCTAAATCTACTCAAAGCGTGATGGGCCTCTGTCTTGGGACAAAGCACCAAAAGAAGGCAATTCCGATGAGCAGTCCAAGCATTATGGGCTGCAAGACCTGGACGCCGGCCTGGGAGGCCACCGCTCCTGTTAGGAAAGGGAAAGCAGCGGAACCGGCCTGTCCAAGACTGGCAGTGAATCCTGGTGATTGTCAGCATGAGCAACTATACATTCCACTGTCAGCTACTCACCCATTGCTCCAATGTGAAGTTCCTGTGGGATAACCTTGGTGAGGACGTAAAGTCCAACCGGGTAAAAAGGACCGATAAAGAATCCTGATATGATCTATCAACATGGATTCAACAGCGGTATAGCTTCGTATCTGGCAGGAATGAGATGCTCACCCAGGAAACACACAGTAACCGCATTGACAGTGATGTCTGGAACCAGCCAGAATAATAGTTGCATCGCCACAGCCAACGCGGTATAAACGAACACCATGCGTCGTTCACCAAAGCGATGCGTAATGTCCGCCAGAGCAACACGGCCCAAGGTAAAGCCGGCCCAGAAGCCAGAGGCAATATAACCTACCTTGGAAGGGTCGCCGTTTCTCACCGAAACTAGAAACTGCACAAGCCAGCCTGAAACAAATCAGCAAGGGAGCCTTTTCCGGACCATGGAAGAACTTACCTCCAGCAGTCACCTCCGCACCAACGTACAAAAAGAAGAAGCCGTTGAATATCCACACTGTCTTGTTCGTCACAGTCTCTCGGAGTTCCTTGCCAGCCGTGTCCTTTGCATTGCTCACATTCGGACGGAAGAGCCCCTTTCTGAAGGTCCAGACCAAAGATGTGATATTTAGTGCGCCGAACAACATGGTCACGAGGTAGTAATGATGCCAAACTGGCATTCTCGAGGCAATTGTATTGGCGATCAATGGAGCAAGGATAGTTCCGACACCATACACGGCATGCAAGACACCCAGCCACCGATGGGCGTCCTTGACAGTTATAGTGAACATGTTCATTTGGGCATCTTGGAACGCTACGCCGCAGCCAGTAAAGAAAAATGCCGCCACGAAAAGGGGGAAAGGCGGGCTCCAGAACATCAGAGCATAGCCAAGACACTGGACTGTTGCGCCCAGAACCAATGTACCGCCTGTACCTATGTGAGAACACACGTGGATATTGGCGAAAGAGGCGACAACCCAGCCCACAAAGTTAACTAGGTAGATCATGGACACCTGCAGAAGACCAACATCGTAGGTCGGCTGAATGTACGGGATCAAAGGACCCAATGCAGCATCTTTATCATTGCATCATCCGGGTGTCAGCTGTGGGTTGACTATTGCAGGCACGCTATCGGGGGCGGGGCAATGTACCGTTCAGCCCGGCCATCAGTGCAGCAAAATTCGTACTGAGGATCTTGCTTTTGACATCCTGGACATCCTTGGGGAGGAGAGACGTAGACTCATCAGCCGGAGACGCTTCATGTTGAGCGTAGTTGCCATTTTCAGCTTCTCTGTGGCCGTCCATCTTGCCAATTGAACTGGACTGATTAGTAGTTGCATTGAGGGGAAGGGCGGCTGCGCGCTGGAATAGCCGGTTACTTATATACGAAAAGGACAAAACAGTAATCCTTGGCGGCAGCAGCTAGCTCCACCCTCGCCTAGCTCCATAGCAGGTAATCGCGGCTAGCTAACAAAACCGACCCCAGCTGATGGGATGGATGGATGATGGTGGGGTAAACCCGAAGTTTAAGCGAGGGTTGTAAGCAGGGCAACTGCCTGCCTGCCTGTCTGTCGGTGAGGACCACATATGGATTTTGGGGTCTAGCCGGCCCCTCTTAATTGTGCTTGGGGATTCACCTCGTGCAGAGACCGGAGTCAAGACTGCAATGAGACTGGCGAGAGCCGATGTCAGGTGGACCAGCGGGCAACTGGCGTCTTGTTTTGCCGCTTCGGGAAGGTCTGCCAGCTGCTTACTCATGTGCCTATGTGGTGAGGTGGTTAACTAGCGCCTGGATGGACCTTCCTGATGTCAGGTTGGTTATCGGAGACTCGGGCCGAGAGAGCGTGGAAACGCTTGATGCTGAGATGTCGGTTCTTAATGACTGCAATCAACTAACTATCAGGCTCTCAAGTTGATAAGATAGAACCCAAACGTAGTCGTGGATATGGCTCACAACACTCCGAAGATAGAGGATAGGTACACTGCTACTCCGTAGTCTTACCACATCATCATTGAATGATAAGCTGCCTTCATCGCTTGGGAAAGGACCAGAGTAAGGTGCTGGGGTAAGTCTTTCCAAACTCAGACCAGCTGATGTAGAGCACTTCGCATGGCAGTGAAGAACAGAACTTGTTTTACCGTGATGGGGACCGGAGTATTGCTGTTTCGATTATTTGGCCTTTCGTGCCAGGTTCCAATGCCGTAGACGCAGTCCAGACAGTAAAATGTCAAACCGGGTCGTTTCAAGTTAAAGGCTGTCGCCTGTTCCTGCAGAAATCAAGTAAATATGACCGTGAAGAGACTCATGTCCAGTAATAAATGTTTTTATGAGGGCATATAACGGTTTAGTCGGTTTCTGAACTGGGATCAATGGTAGAAGGAAGGGGATATTGGGTTTGACGGATGATTCTGTTCTGATAGTACAATCGAAAGGTAGCCCTGTTGAATTGGTCTCATGTGAACTCCAAAATAGCTATATGGACGCTTAGAGCACGAGGATGATGGATGAAAAGGAGAGAAATAAGGTGATGACCAACAGGTATAAGGGGGAAATGATGGTCAATACCCACTGAGTTCCAGGGACTACTTAGGTAGCTGGTAGGCTTGGTACCTAAAGAAAGCATAATGCTGAAACGGGCAGTCACTCTCCAATGGGCCTAGTCTATGCAGTATCACTCTTCACTATCGGTATAAGTGGTAGTAAGTCCTACCTAGTAGCACACCTCATAAACATTAACATCTTCATGTCGGTGGTATGTCTCACTCGCAATAGGTACATCCCAAGGGACTATGCTAACTGGATTCTGTTTGCTACTGACTACCATTCTCCTCATCCTGTTTGTATTTACACGCACATATATATACGACAATATACAGCAGTCATTTGGTAATAGTAATTTATACATCCCCCACAATGTCAAAAAATTCTGCCCGCAACTAGCCGGGTTTCAAACTCAATTACCCCGGATATTTGTTGACAAATACGGGGTAACGCTTAGAGGCGGGGATACTAGTAGGTACTAGTAGTCTAATCCCTCCACGGCATCCACATTATCTTCAGATCAGGGGCACGGGCGACGCCGATTGGGCATCAGGAAGCGAGCTCGGATAATTCACACGGGATACTAGCAGTACTAAGTACTATAGTACTTGGCTAATGGATCCCATCTCGGCCATGAGGGATAATAATCTCTCTGGAATGAGAGATATTCCCCGCAGTCTAGGAATTGTAAAGGTAAGAGAAACTGAGGATATGAATTTCCATGACCAATGGACTGATTGAAAGGATGGACCCGCCTTTATCCGGTTTCTATGAGCACATTATTGATAGAGAGTGAGTGAGTGGTATGTAACGGAGACCTGAAATGGGATTGAGGAGTGTTGAAGTGCCTCGTCTTGCTTCAAACAACTTTATGTCATGCTGAGAAGAGATTTGATTTTTATTTTTCTTTTGTCGAAGTCTAGATCGCTATCCTCACTACTTATTTAATAGTAAGGGAGGTATTCCAATCAAGCAACAATGACGAGTATGAACAAGAAGTAATAAAGCGGATGAGCAGCCTGTCGCATCCGTCCGATAAGCCGGTGTAACGTTGGATCTCTACGAAAGGGTGACTGACCAACCAGAAGCCGCCCAGCATCCCGGGAGGGTTACACAGGTAGATCTTAAACAGGAAGTGGAAAGGCTGGGCATTCCTGGAATCGAGGAATCCCTTCATTGCAGAACTACACTGCCATGTATCACCCTCATCACGAGCACTGCAACAATGTTGCTTGATCAAGGCAGTGCCTGATGTTCTCTCCGTCGGTGTTGCCCGGCATCGTGAGACTTTTGACCTTGCAGCTCTGTTCTGGATGACCTCAAGGAAGGGATAGAATGATATCCGCGGAAGCTTAACTGTCAAATCAGGGTGGATCGGGAAAGCCGTGGTTCACGACAAGTGCAAAGCCTGGGTTACGTCTTCGAGTATTTCCCCACTGCATGCATGCGACATCCTGACTGAACAAGCCCGACGGGGCTGCCCGTTGGGAAAATCGTGCCAGTCCATGGCAATAACGCAATTAGTTCCTTTGCAATGCGCCTTTAACTCGGCTCCTCCAGGCAATCTCCTTGTTTCCTCTCCCTTCCCCCAGTCGCAGCTTCTCTCCTTCCTCCATAGTTATAACGAGCAGGCTGAGGTCAACAAGCCGGTGCCTGTCTCTTTCTCCATTGCACGGGCTCCAAGTGCTACGACTCGAGCACTTCGTTCTGCACTCTGCTCGAGCAGTAACGCCGCCATCATGAGATCGTCGGAGATTTATCCTGCACCCCCCACGGCGGCCGATCAAGAGCTATGGGAAGAGAAGGAAGTGTCGACTAAACAGAGCTCCCTGGAAATCGGGGAGAATAAAGACTTCGCTCTTCATCAGACACAAGATGCCTTTGGTAATGAAGAGTTCGCAGAGGTCAAGTACAAGGTCCTCAAGTGGTGGTATGCAAGCCATTGTACGACATATTCCCAACATTGTGCCTGACGTCTATCTAGGCAATGCGGCCTGCTCATGGTGGCTGAAACAGTCTCCCTGGGGGTGTTGTCCTTGCCTGCTGCCGTTGCCGGCTTGGGTTTAGTCCCGTAGGTGCATGCTACCATCCTGTGAGGTCTACCGTTACTGACATCACCACCTCCAGCTCGGTGATTATTCTCGTCTGTCTGGGTGCCCTGGCTACCTACACGGGCTATGTGATCGGCCAGTTCAAGTGGAGATATCCGCACATTTGCAGTATGGCTGATGCGGGCGAGGTGCTTGCTGGCCGCTTTGGCCGTGAGCTGTTGGGATTTGCCCAGATCATCTTCCTCGTCTTCATCATGGCCAGCCACCTGCTAACTTTCACCATTGCCATGAACGACTTGACGAACCATGGCACGTGCTCGATCGTCTTTGGAGTGGTGGGCCTGGCCATCTCTTTCGTGTGCACGTTGCCGCGCACTTTGGAAAAGATGTCCTGGCTCTCACTAATCTGTAAGCAGAAGTTAGACTTGGATCGTGGAGGACGTCGCTGACGATGGCCAGCATTCATTAGTATCTTGTCATCTGTGTTCATTACAATGATCGGGGTGGGTATCTCACACCCTGGGAAAGTAATCGAAGCAACGGTCAAAACCGACCTAATCCACGGCTTCACTGCGGTGGCCAATATCGTCTTTGCATTTTGTGAGCATCCACCTGCGAAGTCCCTTTGATGCTCAGGCTAATCCCGTTATAGCTGGACATGCTGCATTCTTTAGCCTTGCAGCGGAATTGAAGAATCCAGCCGACTATCCCAAAGCCTTGATGCTGTTGCAGAGCGTCGATATCACCCTCTATCTTGTTGCAGCCATCGTGATCTACTGCTACGGAGGATCCACAGTTACTTCTCCCGCACTGGGATCAGCCAGCACGGTCGTGTCCAAAGTTGCCTACGGCATTGCGCTTCCAACAGTACGTTTCTCCTCCTTACATTAATGCCGGTGTTCTGACAACCATACAGATTATCATCGCCGGCGTTATCAACGGACATGTGTCTGCCAAGTCCGTCTATGTGCGCATCTTCCGTGGCACTGATCACATGCACAAGCGCAGCTGGATTGCCGTGGGCTCTTGGACCGCAATCGTCCTAGCATTGTGGGTGCTCGCCTGGATCATTGCGGAAGCAATTCCAGTGTTCAATAAACTGTTGAGCTTGGTTGTATGTCTTACACGCTTGTTCCTCATCGTACCTGTACAAGTTAAGGGCAATCTAACAATATACAGACTGCGCTCTTCGCCAGTTGGTTCACTTTCGGCCTGAGCGCGATCTTCTGGTTCTACATGAACCATGGCCAATGGTTCTCGTCTCCGAAGAAAGTCGCCCTTTCAGCTGTCAACTTGCTTGCTCTGGGGGTTGGATGTTGTCTGGTACGTGTATCCTCCACTGATCCGGACCAATTTACTCACAAATCCAGTGCGGTCTTGGACTTTATGTCTCCGGAAAGGCCATTCACGACGATCCCCATCATGCCAGTTTCACCTGCATGAGCACTGTGTAACGTGTGATGATGTTTATGGTCTCTGGTCCTTTTACGATAGATTGGGAGTTTGGCGTTTGGGTGTCAACCTTGGTTAATCTTTCCTCACGATCATTATGAAGTTCTGATACGAAGAAGACGGCGTCTTGTATATAGGTTCTTGTAAATACATTATGCTCATGATCGGTGTCAAGAAAAGCATAACAAGCATGACACTAACGCCAACCAACTCCAGTGTCTTGATTATGAACAGAACTCCGGCGCACCCATGCGTCAAAGTACTAAATGCCGCCAATATAACACAGCAGACCATGTATCTGACTTGACAGACACAGCCTCAGGGAGTGGAAACAATGGAAAGAGAAAGCGATGTAGTAATAAGAAAAGAATAAAATGGTATATGTAAACCGTCCACAGGACTAGAATACCCTAATAGGTAAAGTAAAGTATAAGAAAGTAGAAAAGAATAGAAAGAGAATCAAAAGAATGAAACATATCACCCTTCAACGCCATCCATACCATACCATACCATACCAACCCAAACCATACCCACTCACTCCAGTAATTCCCTCTTCAAACTTAGAAAGGGAAATAAAAAACCCCCGTCATCTAATGCAATCTACCCCGTTTCCCCGCGTCCACTCGCCCTCTTCATCCTTCGCCTCTTCCGTCGACACGAATCGATCGCCTCAGGCGTGAGAATCTCCGCGGGGAGCTCGAACTCGCGCTCCTCCATCTCCGGAATAGGTTGTCCGAAGGCTAAGCGGGTTCGACCTTTGCGGTTTGGTCCGGAGAGGGCTAGTTCGCGGAGATGCGGTTTCGAGTAGAAGGAGGTGAAGGGTTTGGTGGGTTCAGGGGGTAATAGTTGTGCTGGTGCTGGTGGAGGGTGCATAGCGGAGGTGGATTTGTGCTTGGTGGAGGATGAGGGTTTGGAGAGTTTCTTGCCCGTTGAGGTACTTGTAGTAGTAGGGTTGGTCGTGGTGGTGGGTGTTGTTGTTGTGGCGGATCTTGCCTCCTGGTGTAATTGTCTTGCTGCCCAGGCGTCAACGTCGTTGGGGTCTGGGGGATCTCCACCGCAGCTCTGGGCGTCGGATAACGGGGTGGTGCCGTCGTCTGCCTCGTCGTTGGTGGAGGGGGTTGCTGTCTCTGGGGAGTGGTCTTTTTTGCTACTGCTGGCGGTGGGTGGGATGGGCTCTTCCTCGGCTGGTTTGTCCTTCTCTGACTTGCGGCGCTTTTCTTCTTCCCTCCAGATTTTGAACTTCTGGAGGACGGCGGAAATTTCCCGGATGAAGTAGGTGCGTTTGGACTCAAAGTGTTTGCGCTCGGGGTCGCTGATCAGTCCGGTAATTCCCATGACGCGGAGCCAGTCGTGGCCTTGGAGTTCGTCCAGGAGACGGTCTAGATTTTGTTTTTCGTGCTGGGCGCGGTCGCGCTCGATGTTGCGCAGTTGCTTTTCCTGGCGTTCATTGCGCCGGTGCGGGCGGAAGTAGGTTTCTTCGCTGAGAGGGTCGGGGGAGGTTGTGGTGGAATCTTCGGCGGTGGGAGGTTTGGGTCGGGAGGTAGAGGAAGGAGGATTAGGGAGGTTGATTGTCTCGCAGTTGTGTAGGTTCACGAGAGGGTTTCCAAACGGAGTGTCGGTATCAGAGTTGGGGTCGGAGGATGGTGTGAGCGGTTCGGGGAGGTCGTCGAGTAGTTTGATGGTGGTATTCCCCGCAAGGAACTCTATGCAGACCAATTTCTGTTAGCCCGAGCACTATATGGATTAGTGTGTTTTCCTTGAGGCTTACCGGTCTTTGGCGGCTCCATGCTAAGGAGCTCCTCGTAGTTGGGAAAGTAAAGCGCCAGCTCGCTGCGCGCGCGGGAGCCACCATCGTGAGAGCGGAGGGAGCGCCGTTGCTCGCGCCCGGTGGAGGGCTGCTCGGTCGGGGCTGTCGGCTGCTGTGGGGTCGCATCTGGGACAGGCTGAGATGGCTTAGATACTGTCGACGTCGATGCAGGCTGCTGTATAGGCGTTGCAACTGCAACATCAGGCTCGGGGTCAGCGGCGGCAGCTGAGCGGCGCGGGCGACGGGCGGAAGAGTCGGCGGCGGTGGTGGTGACGGCGGAGGGTCGTCCCGGCGGGGACACCCTCCGCGAGACCGACGAGTTGGCCGTCGCGGAGGGGGATATGGTATCTAATGGGTCTGGCGATTCGCGACCGACAGGAAAAAAGTATGATGTGATAGTGGGGGTGGAATCATTGCGGAGAATGCGACGAGCGTTCGGTCGCGGAGTGGCCGGTGACGACGAGGTGGGATTATTGCTGGCCAGCGGGCGGCGCGTCGAGGTCCGCCGGCGCAGGGGATGATGAGACGAGAGTTTGTAGGGCGTGGCAGCTGAGGAGGACGAGTTCTCCGTCGTGGTGGTATCCAGCAGATCGGGGGAGCTTTTGCGACGGCGCGATGACGAGTGAGTCTGGAGACGAGCTCGCTTTGCAGGAGGCTCGGAGTCCGGCTGGTCGGGGGAATGGCCGTGATGAGGATCTCGTCGCAGGGAGACACGGACAGGCATCAGGGTGGTGGAGGTCATTCGGGAGGATCGAGGAGGGGAGAGGAATTGAGACGTGGGGGGAAAGAAAGGTCAGGAGGGATGCGTGCACGGCATGTCAGGGCCAGTCGGGGGCAATTCGGAGGATTGAAGTTGGCAGGAGGTTTTTTGGGCGAAGCTGAAGCACTCGAGAATCGCAGCTGCAGGTCTGGATGTGTTCCGGATTGGGAGGAGTTGAAAGTTGTATCTTTACGGATACCGCAGCAGGTATGTCTCAGTACCTGACAGGACAGGTGTTACCGCCAGGATGTATGATACCTGTCACAACGATACCTCACTGGACTAGCTTAACATACATACATACATCATACATCTTCACATCTTCACTCTTCTTCTACTGCATCAACTTCTGCGTGAAGCACTTCTAATTCATCCACCCCATTCACTCCTTTTCCGGCTCACCTCATTTCTCCGAGGAACCAATTCTCCGACGACTACCCCATTCCTCTACCATAATGCTTCCCAGCACGACGTGGGGGTGGGAGCTCCCCTGACTTGCCATAGGAGGGGATCTGCTGGAGAGAGTGTGGGGTGCGTGGGGGTTTGGCTGGATTGTTTTCTGCTCGACGCTGTCTGGATGGAGTCAACCGGCTCAATGTCCGACTCTCTCCCAACTTAACTGGAACTGTTTCCCCTCTTAGCCACCCACTGGCTTGCTTTCTTATATATCATGGCAACGACTTCCTCGTTGCTTTCCATCTGTCCTCCTCTTCTTCCTCCTCCTCCTTCCTCTTCCCCCGCATTCTCCCCATCCCCATCCACCACCACTACTCTTTATACTTCCCTCGCCACCATCACCACAATTACCCCAGATTGATCACCGATCCAATCACCACCTCTACAATGGCCATTACACCCCGCCCCCTCAAACCCGGCATCTACGTCCCAACCGTCGCCTTCTTCACCTCTCCCAACGAAGACCTCGACCTCTCCACCACCGCCCTCCACGCCACCTACCTCGCTCAAGCCGGCGTCACCGGTCTAGTCGTGCAAGGCAGCAACGGTGAAGCCGTCCACCTCAGCCGCGAAGAGCGCAACCTCATCACTTCCACCACCCGTCGCGCTCTCGACTCTCACGCCCCCTCCGCCCCGCTCATCGTCGGCTGCGGCGCCGCCTCCACCCGCGAGACCATCCAGCTGTGCCAAGACGCCGCCGCCTCCGGAGGCGACTATACCCTGATCCTCCCTCCCTCCTACTACAAATCCCTCCTCTCTCCCAAGGACCTTCTTGATCACTTCCGCCTCGTCGCCTCCGCCTCCCCCATCCCCATCCTGGTGTACAACTTCCCCGGCGCCTCTTCGGGCCTGGACCTCTCCTCCGACGACATCCTCGCCTTGGCGGAGCACCCCAACATCGTCGGCGTGAAGCTGACCTGTGGAAACACGGGTAAACTGGCGCGCATTGCCGCCGCCGCCGAACCCGGTTTCATGACCCTTGGTGGTTCCGCTGATTTCACTCTCCAGACGCTGGTGGCAGGCGGTCATGGAGTGATTGGCGGCGTGGCGAACCTGATCCCTCGTTTGAGTGTGCGCGTGATGGAGCTGTATCAGGCGGGACAGGTCGAAGAGGCCCAGCGGTTGCAGGCCATTGTAGCGCGTGCGGACTGGCAGGCTATCAAGGGTGGTTTTGTAGCGGTGAAGAGTGCGTTGCAGACGTACCGCGGATACGGAGCATTGCCGAGACGGCCGTGTGTGGTGCCGTCAGAGGCGCAGGCGACGGCGTGGAAGGATTCTTTTGCGGAGGCTATGGAGCTGGAGAGACAGTTAGAGAAGCAGGCCTAGCTTTACTCTGTATCTACATACCTCCCATCATACAAAGGTTGTATTCCACTCAATAGGGCATACACAATCAATATCCCAAGTTACTCACTCCCACATCTTCTACATACCCATCATCATCATCATCATCATCTATACAAACGGCAACACCAAATACGAATCAAACTCCACCCCACAATGAACCTCATGCACCTGCTCTTTCTCCCCCACATCCCCTCCCGATCCCTCCCCTTCCACCGGACCAAACTCCACCTCCGGATAACACAAATCACGCCCCGCCACCCTCAACATAATCCCCTCCCCAGCACCAAACACCATTCCCATCGGCCACAACGTAATATCAATCGGCACGATCTTTCCCGCCGGGATGCTCTCCGCCTGATCATGTCTATACACAATCTCATGCTCTGTCGAGAGCGTCTCGTCCCGTGTGACGGCGTGCGACGCACGCAGGAACCCCTGCGGTCCGAGCGTCTTGGCTGTGTTGACGTTGGGGACGGCGTCAACGGGCACGGGACACGGGTAGTTGAGGTGTTCGAGAAGCGTGCCGGTGGCGGAGATCTTGCGGATTTGCACGATGATGTCCATGTCTGTGTGGTGGGGGGTGGAGAGCCACAGATGTACGCGGGGGTACCCGGCTAACTGAGTGGGGGTGGGGAAGTGGAGGGTGAAGTCCTATTATTTGTTAGGAGATATTGAGAGAGAGGGTATGTTAAGGGGGAGACGTACGGAGGTGCCATGGAGGGCGGAATGGGTTGTTGAGGTGACTGTGCTTGGGAGAGAGGGTTGGAGGGTCTTGGTTGATGCGTTGAGGTAGAATTTCTTGAGCTCCTGCCGGGTTAATGGGTAGGTATGTTCGGGGCGTTCGAGGATGGTTGGCACAGAGCTGCCTTCGAATCCAAGGAGGGAGAGGCGCACCGGTGGTGTGCTTTCCCAGTCGTTGGGTGTGTTCTTAAGATAGCGGTCGAAGAAACGAGAGAGGTCGTCGACCATCTCGGGTCGGTATAGATCGTACCATTCTTGGTATGGGTGCACGCGGAGCCATTTTCGGGTGCTCTGGGCGGTGCGGAAGGTTTCGAAGGAGCCGCGCGTGTGCAGCATCGAGGAATATGAGGCGAGAATGTAGAGGGGGATGTCGCCTATGCGTTCGGTGTGGATGCGTTTGCTCTGCCAGTAGGCGTCGTCGAAGGGTCGTTTGCTCAGCATGGCGGGCATGTTCTCTGCCGTTCCGTGACCGGCGAATCCGGTCAGGATTAGCTTGTGAAAGGCTTCATTGTGCTTCATGCCGCCGCGCATGGTAAGGTCTCGGTATAGATCGGTGAACCCCTCCCAGGGAGCGAGGGCTTTGAGAGCAGGATGCTCGAGTCGCGAGGCGAAGTTGACCTGCGCAATGGAGAGCCACGAATTGCCTGCCATCCCGACGGAGCCATTGCACCAGGGCTGCTTGGACAGCCAGTCGATCGTGTCATAGATGTCTTCGGCTTCTTGCTGACCCCAGAAGGTGATGTTGCCTTCGGAGTTGCCGGCGCCGCGGGCATCGATGTTGATGATAGCGTAGCCGCGAGGCACCCATTCAGCGGGATCTGGGGCTTCAAACTTCTCATAGCCTGAAGTCCGGCTTTTCTCGAGTCCAGCACGGAAGGGTGCCATGCTATCGTAGCTCTGCGGACCGGTTCCTGTCTTGCCATATGGGCTCCAGGGGATGATGGCTGGGACGGGACTGGTGTCGGAGTCGACAGGACGAAAGATATCGGTGTATATCTTGATGCCATCGCGGAGGGTAATGGCTATGTCCTGCTCAAAGAGCACGTCTGTGTGGAATGCGCGATGGCCGGGAGATCGCACATGTCCTGCAGAAAGGACTGTCCTCTTGCCTGGGTGGAAACCTTGATAGTTGTAGGCAGGATGCTCCGCCGGTGGAGTGAGGGGGAACCATTCGAGGTCGGGAAAGGTAGCACGGATCTTCTCTTCAGTGGTGGTCATGATGTCTGATTAAACGAGCTCTGGGGTGTGGGAATCTGTATGGTGCTCTAGCAGTTTATATAAAGCCCCGCATCCCCACTGCCGGGTCCCCCACATTCGGGACGTAGCATCGAGACATCTTTCGGATATATGAAGGGGTATGCGGTGATTGAAGTGGGAATTGTTTCATGGGATTGAGCGCGACCGAAGAATGCCGGGTGTTGGTCTAACATCGAGTGGTGGGAGGACTGGCATTGCTGAAGTGCAGCCACCGTCAACGCGATGACATCTATAATACCTGCCTCGGGAAGTGGGAAGTGGGAAACTCAAGTGGGAACGCATCACTGGCTCAAACCCAATTCTGAATGGATGAGCAGCAGGGAAGAAGATGGAGAAAGAGAGCGAAAGAGTGGGGAAGTGCGGAGTTGATGGAGGACTGGCCTGGCTAGGGTCAAGTGACTTGCGCCTCTCTATCTGCATGCGAATCTCTCGGCTGAATATCAACCTCTTCGAATTCAACATCTATCACAGAAGATTGAAGGCACTACTCCATTCCCAAAGTATACAACTCCGGCACTTCCTCATCTTGTCCCATTTTCCTTTCGCCCAAGAACGCCCTCACACCCACTCCCTCCCTCCAATTCTCCATATCCACCGGTTCCTCCAACGATTTCACCGACGCCTGCCACAGAACCTTCGCATCTCGACACTGATGCACCGCGCCCACCCCATCGACGTCGAAAATAGTCTTGCCATGTCGGACCTGGGTTTTCCGGGGCCGTTCGATCGTGTCATCCGCAGCACAGAGGATGCCCTATCATTATCAGAATTGAACAAAGCATGGGGGGTAGACAGAAGCCAGAGACAAAAACACACCTGAGCAATATAGTCAAAGCAATGTGCCCAATGCACCTTGTCATGCAACATATCGCCTGAATGTGCCTGACTTGTTGAGTTGATTGTGTTCTCCGTTGTCTCGGGGAAGACAATCGCCCGCAGCACGATCAGACAGTGCAATTGATGGAACATTGAGATCCCCCAGCTGAGGACTTTCTCCTCTTTCTTTTCATCAGCAGTGAGATGAATACTATCGGGGATTGTGTGAGAGCGAATGCCTCCGCCACCTGGCGGCAGGAGGATGGATTCCCATGTCCGGACCTCGTCCGAGTCGTTGACTGTGCGTTCGAGTTCGGGACGCTCGTTGAAGACTCGACCGTGCGTCTGGTCTGGTGATAGGCTTTGAGACTGTGAAGGACAGATAGGAGGGATGATACGTGGGAGAAAAGTGGGTGGTGTAAGGAGGAGAATGGTGATGGTGGTTAAGAAGAGGGTGGTGAGGACCAGGGAAATGAGACAGGGGGTGTAAAGTGGTGTCTTGGACATTTCATGGCATTTCTTGTTTTCTTTCTTCGTTGCTCTAATGTAGAGGAATGACCGGGGTATGGTGGTTTCATGATTCTTTTATCTGGGGGTCATTCTTTATTGTTGCCGCATCGGGTATACAATGGTTCTTTATGGGGTCCATGGTTGAGCAGTGTGACAGCCATGGTTCGTACGCGGGAGAGCTATATCATGAGTGTATTTAGACCTCCTTCAAAGATGTTGAATAACTAGCTAGATAGCTGACTAGAATACAATATGTCCATTTTGTTGCCGCTCATATCAAAACATGGATGGACACTATACTACCAGGAGGGCATTCACATGACCAGCAATATCTGCACTAATTCAGCACTAATCTGCATAGTGATAAGGACCTAAACAGATATTCAAATCCCGGCGAGCTAGCTGCAAAGCAGCACAGAGCGAAGAGCGACTGTGACGACGAGTGGCGAAAACCGGGCAACCTGCAGAAGCGACTAATGCGAGCCTGATTGCTGCAAGGCATCCTGACGGAATGGATACCTTGTCTGCTCGGAATGACGACAATTGGCGGGAGGCAGCTGTTTGCTACGGAGTATCCAGCATCCATCACCCAGTTATGCATCTATCTCCTAGTAATAGTACACATCTCATTCACAAACCTTACTTACGAACAACAGCGATAAACATCCGTGTAAAGAGTAGAGTTGCTGACCTAACCAGTAACAAAGTTTACCCCATCTGCAGGTCCGTCCGTCCGCCAGTCAATCAATCAGTTTAAATCCGATACTTCCGAAACCGAACCCAGCCAACCGGACTAACCGATCCGCATCATAGCAGCAGCAGCAGCAGCAGCAGCAGCAGCACTGCCTCCTATCCTGTCCAGGTAGGTGGTAAGTAGTAGTAGTAAGATTCCCCTTTCCCACGACGCCAACTAAAACTGCAAAAGTAAACTAACAGACAAACTAAACGCACTAAACCCAACCCCGGTGCAAAACTACGTGCCTAATTTCCTCCCCGTCTTCCTTTAGTTTCCGGCTCACTGGAATGGAATTGGACTGGCGGGAAAAATGGATGGTTGTCAATACCTGCCTTTTCGGGCCCAATTACGGAGGGACAAAAACATGGGCTCGGCTTTTGTTGTTGTTCAGTTCAGCCAGCCTCTTTCCATGTCCACCTACCAAATCCGGTTTAGTCTCCTTCCTTTAGGATTCCCTAACTTGGATTCGTACGTTAATCCGTTCCTTATGACGATACTTACTTATTTGCTTAATTAATAATGATACTAGTGGCCGTGTTGACGAACCGGCCAATTGTGTCCACAGTATTGGTGTTTTTTTTTTGTTTGTTTGTGTTTTGTTTTTGTGGTCGGGTCAAGATAGTAGCTATTAATCACATGTACGGAGTACTTACTTGCGTAGACTAATGATCCATGGGGATGGTAACTACTATTACTATATCACTAGTAGTATTGTTCTGTCTATCTATCTAGTTACTGCAGTATCTATCATCTTGTTTTTCAAACTGATACCTTCCAGATACATAGATCCAACTATATACATAAGATAGTCAGGGGGATGGATGGATGACCAAAATACCCTCCCTTATCGGTGTTCGCCGTTTAATCAACCGCATCATGGCGATTCCTCTCCTGCATGTGGGTAAGTAACTATGTAATTTCAAATAAGCTACTTAGTATCTACTACATACTTCAAGCCCCCCGACAATGTACATATTCGGTATCCGAGACCGAAGTATCCCCATCTTTTCATAACTTCGCTACTGTCGCAAATGACGACTACCAAACACCACTTAGTCTACCTCTCCCATAATAGGTGCTAACCTCCTGTAGGTACACAAATCCATGACTCAGCTACTTACCCAATCCGTCATTTAATCAAGCAAATCATATCCACTAGTCCATCAAACCTACTCATAACTATATCGCCACATAATATATATTAATCCTACACCATCATCTCAAGTACACGCACACCATCAACATGCACTGCATGCAACCAGTAGATCCCCAGATCCTAGATCCTTTTAGCAATGTCAAGTACTAGTAAACAAACCTAGGGATTTGAATCTCCATCCTTCGCTTCGCTTCGTTTCACTAGAACTTGGTGGGTTACATTCAATATTCGCCTCTCGGGCGGGGTTATCATCATCAACTGACACTACATAGTTAGCTAACTAGCTAGCTAGCTAGTTAGTTAGTAAGTGATCGGGATATGAACAACATAACCGAAGTAAGCTACCGGAGTTGCTCAGTCATTGTGTAAGTAGTGAAGGCAAATAAAAAGGCAACAAGACAATTAATTCTCCGAGTCTACTATTCTTAGTTGTGCCCTGTGTTGCCCTTGCGGATTTGGGACTTGGCAGTAGATGCCTTCTGCTGCGCGGGTATAGCGGTAACCGTACATACATGCATCGATTACGTTTGGTGGTGTGAGTATTATTGAAGACATATCGGTGAGTTTGAATGGAAGAAATGAAGGAAGGGGTATTTCTTCTGACGGGGGAAAGAGATTCGATCGGAGGTTAGTTTAAATTTAGGTATGAATGCCGTTATGATTATTGCGATTGTCTTCTCTGTGCAGAGAGTATATATTTTCTAGAAGTTGCTATGTTAAACTCATAAGTAGTAGTTATGTTTATCTTGAAGGCAACTAGTTTCCTTACTTACTACGTACATACTATGCTGTGATAGTTAATCTCGCTTCTAGTATTCGTACTTTGTACATATCCTCACTCGGCTCATTCTAATGTAAATCGCTTTCTCTTCTAAGCGATCCGTCATTCACTATCATAATTACCTGCCCTATCCAGTTACTACTCAACAGTCTAGACGTTCTGGCCTAGCCTCGTGGCTTAGTTTGACAGCTGCATGACGGAGAAGGTTTCCCTTAACCTCAACCAAGTGGAAAATAGGCAACGTTAACGGGAAACTCTACTCCGCAACTATATTCAATAGACAGCATCCACTGGATCCATTGTGGCAAATACGGCCCCAGACCCAACCTGCTTTCTAGTACGGATAGATGTCAAAAGGTTGGTGATCCTTCCGGTTACCATATGATGGTACCTTTGGGGGTTTAGCCGCTGTTTCAATTAGGGAGAGATAGACAAGTTGTGGAATTAGCTTCCGGGTATACCTCCGTAGTGACCGCTACTAGTCACTTTCTTCGTTTGCCTTACGACTCATTCTGCTTTCTGTCGTAAGGGGGACGGTAGTCGTCTAGGTAAGGGGGAGGAAAATGCCACGATGTCGTCAACTGTCGGCCAAGGCCTGGACTGGGCGATGAAGATCGCGCCCCCCCGACTACTGGAAAAATTTTCAGCGCACTGTCATAGACTGCAGAAAACTAAGCAGTTGAAGTGCCTGCTTTGTAACGGGGTAAGTGCTTCCGGCGGAGCAGATCCATGCATCATCAATCAAAGCGACTAGACTACTACCTTATTCAGTCGTTTCAGGCAAGTCCGTTATGATATATGCAGTTTTAGTCCCGCAAGGCACTCGCGTCAGGAGAGACATTATTCATCGGACACGCCGACACTATTGCTTGACGTCTGGGGCGCGGCGTTGCAGATCTCTGTGCTTTATCACGACCGTCCCGAGTTTCCGTCAGAGAAGACTGTGCACATCCACACACTAGACACGGCGGGTGACACCGCCTCATATGCACACAGCGCTAAAGAAGAAAAAATTCTCTGGTGCCAGAGTCTCGGGGTCTGAAGGCGCCTATGCGTGCTGTCATAGGCTTGTGGACGGGGCAAATTGCATCCCTAGCCCATGGACTTAGCCACATGGACTATCCCTAAGCAGGATACAATCTACCCACTTAGCTCGGGCCCATCGTGTGCCCCAGCCACATTCTCATCGAGCGTCAAGCACACGGGATCCATATCGGGGACCGTCAGGACGGTCCTTTTTTTTTTTTTTTTTTTTTTTTTCTTTTGTTATTCTTTCAGTG